TCTGGCCCTAGCACCAACTTGCTCGTCTCTACTGCCTGTACCAGTAGCTGTTCTGCTTCTCTCCATCGTCCTTGCTTCCTGTATAGAGATGCAAGATTGTTTATGCTGGTGAAAGTGTCGGGATGATCTGGCCCTAGCACCTGCTTGCGAGTCTCCATAACTTGCACCAGTAGCTCTTCCGCTTTCTTCCATTGGCCCTCAAGGCTGTATGCTAGTCCAAGTATCTGAGTACTACTGAGAGTCTTCTCGTTCTCCAAACCAAATAATTTCTTCCTTGTCCTTGTTGCTTCCTCTGCCATCCTTTTGCTATCGATTAAATTTCCTCGTGTCCATGCAAACGATGCTGCTTCGTGAAGCAATGAAGCCCACTCTTCTAAAGAGGCTTCTGCATCCGGGCGTTGTGCAGTTGCGTATTGGACGTGAGCAAATAACGATTGGCACCTTGCCCAGTTTTCAAATCTTCCCGCCGGAAAGTTGCTCCAAAGGCTTCGGATAAACCGCTCCTTCCATCTTTCGAGCTGCCCGTGGGCTTTCAGCCACTCCTGTATGGCCAGTTGAACAAGCCGATGCATCTCAAAATTTCTTCCATCTGCACTGATGGATATCATCGAGTAGTCTCTCAACACCAATATGTCGTCTTCAAACATGATGTCGTACCTCGTCTCATTATTCTCACGAAGCACAATATCAGGAATCCCCTGTCTATCAAAAAAGCTCATGAGAGATAACAAATCCGCCGCTGACGGCCGCTTTTCCCTTAAATGATCAAATGATATTTGCCACGTGACAAGGATGGAGTTTTTGGCTTCCGAGTCTCTGCGGAGATGCCACCCTTCATAATCAAGAAGTTTGATCTTCTGGCAGTCGCTCCTCTGAAATATTTGAAGATACTGTAGGACTGACAGGCGTGGCGCCCTCTGCTTGATATAAGCTGCCGCTTGCATAATCGCGAGTGGCATGAACTCCAGGGCAGTAATGAGCTGAATAACGTCTTCCCTGTAAACTTGCACTCCACACTTCTTTTCAAAGAGTGTTATGGCATGGGATTTATCCATCGGTTCAATTTTAATGATGTTGCTATCTTCCACCATCCGGGATGCCATCTGTGAGCTTCGACTTGTTATAACGATTGAACCTTTCAAGCTCCCAGAGAAATAAGACCAGATTGATCGTCCTGGCGAACCGCTCGGATCACTCTCGCGGCCGTCCAGCTTTGCTTGTGGTATTTCATGGAGAAATTGATCATCATCTACATTGTCGAGAACCAGGACCCACTTCCCCTTTCTGTCGTCGTGTAGCCAGTCATGAAGAAGTTTGAAAATATCCGCCTTCGGGTCCTGCCTCCCAGGGATCTTGACTCTGTCTGCAATATCCCGACAACTCTGCTCGAAACGGGCTGCATTGCTCGCATGGATCCAGAATACCCACGTCTCGGGTGATCGATCTCGTATGCGGTAGGTGAATTCGATAGCAAGCTGCGATTTTCTTCCAACCTGTCAGCAGTGGATAGCTGGTCGACCATTTGAACTCACCCGACTCCGCCTAGGCCGACAAGCGCTACTCTCGACCCCGGCACGGAGCCTTTCTCATAAATCAGATCGAGTTGTGATCCACAATCGACAAAGTCTGGGTCGCGACGAAACGGGACGGTCGATAAGGGGCTCGGTGGAGTTATTGGTCGTTCTAGGGCGGGGAACGGCTATTAGTCAATTTGACTTCACATATTTCAATGGCCTCTTGGGTTTACCCGAGGGAAGGTGAATATGACCGTTATCAGCCTCAACCTGAAGCTCATCATTCCCGCCAGGAGATTTTGCCAATGCCATAGTGCGACCTGGAATATTATGTGCGTCCTTAAGGGGATAGGAACGGGCCATGTAACCAAGTGTGACGTGTCTCAGCCTCTTCATCAGGTGATATTGAGCTGTCAATCCGCCGCCCAATTCGCTCAGATTATGTCTGATTGGTAGTCTGAGTTTACGTACCAAGACTGTACCAACCACATCATAAGGAAGCTGCCTTCATACCTATATTAGCAAAGATGGATATAATGCGGTTTGCGATAGGGAATACAAAACAATTTGTGTAAGCAGTGAAATTAGAATGGAACTTGCTGTAGTAGGTGCGCTACATCTGCTCTACGGTCAGACCTGCATGCCTGAAATGTCCATCTGCGCTTTCCCCCCTTCCATCAATAACATGAAGGATATGAAAGATAAGCTTTAGGGTTTATTAGGAATGGGAAACTTCTGGGTTTACCTTGGTCAATACTTGGGCTCAGCTTCAACCCGATACCCTTCATCCTGCAACGTCCTGGGTGGTATATAGTGCGCTCCTGCTCATGATATAAAATTGAACAACGGAAAGCTTACTGAGCTAGAATGTCCAGCGTTGTGAGTTGAGGCTCCGTCGTAAACAATAGAGCTTCATATACTGGATCTATCCGTAGTGTTGTAATTCAGAAGAGGGTTGATTATACTTCATCACTTCTGAACACCCGAGGGCTTTTTGTACAAGTTGAAGTCAGATTTAATTATAAAGCAATCTGATCCTGTACAGTATTATTCCTTATCTAAAGGTCTATAGTTTACCTAATCGAGCCTCAATTCACGAGACGTATACTATCTGATTGAGTCCCAATCAATGTGATGTCTATCGTGTATAAAACCACAAGGCTACACATGAAGAAAATAAAAACAGCTTAGCCTTCCCCTGAAATGCAGCTCTCAGGAATGCTCAACGAACTTTCAATACCTGTTCGTCTGTGTACAGCGTGGTGACAGCCAGAAAGCACGTGCCGTCTTTGGCTGATGTCGTCCGGGTTAGGACTAGCTTCTGGATCGCCGAATGCCAAAGCTGCCGAATTCTTCCCAAATTGTTTCCATAATGCGACTTTCAACAACCACTTCTCTTTCGCATTTTCCGACGCATTAATTCCGTTTTATTCTATTTTTCCTCCGACTAGGATACTTGGGTCTGACTTCCAGCATGCGTGAGATAGTAAGGTCGCTCCTTGGCTTTTGTTCTCCCTGTTAATGTAATTGCTGACCTTGTGGCCCTGGCTGCGCAAAATACAGATCCATCTTCAGACTGGCCAGTGTGTAAGTCAACTGAACGCGAAGGGTTTGGAATGAACGGCTGAATTGTCGTTCTCTTACACAGGGCAACCAAGTGGGCGCTGCCTTCTGGTAAACTCAGCATATGAATGTATGCTTATCATCTCTACCGGCATCACCTACTGACTATCCCAAGGCAAACTATCTCCGACGAACATGGTCTAGACCAATCCGGCATGTTAGTTAATCTGGTTTATGTCTTGTAACTGTCTCCCCTAGTCCCCTGACAGCATGCAGGTACAGGGGTACGTCCGATTTGCAGCTAGAGCGGATGAATGTCTATTTCAACGAGGCCAGAGACAATAAATACGTCCCGCGTGCAGTCCTCGTCGACTTGGAACCAGGGGCGATGGATGTCATCCGTTCTGGCTTCCACGGCGCTCTTTTCCGACCTGATAATTACGTGTTTGGGCAGTCTGGAGCGGGCAACAACTGGGCGAAAGGCCACTACACAGAAGGTGCAGAGCTGGTGGATCAAGTACTTGATGTTGTCCGCCGGGAAGCGGAGGGTTGTGACTCCCTGCAGGGGTTTCAGTTTACCCACTCCCTGGGCGGCGGTACTGGGGCTGGCATGGGCACTCTTCTGATCTCCAAGGTCCGGGAAGAATTCCCCGATCGTATGATGGCCACATTTTCTGTATTGCCCTCCCCCAAAGTCTCTGACACGGTGGTGGAGCCATACAATGCGACACTGTCAGTGCATCAATTAGTCGAGCATGCGGATGAAACTTTCTGCATAGACAATGAGGTTTGTAGAAAAGCTGGGCTTCCTTATATAAATCTGGACTAATAGGCATAGGCGCTCTATGATATCTGCACACGCACCTTGAAGTTATCGTCACCTTCGTATGGTGATCTCAACCACTTGGTCTCTTCTGTTATGTCCGGGGTCACCGCCAGCCTTCGGTTTCCCGGTCAACTGAATTCCGACCTGCGGAAGCTAGCGGTCAATATGATCCCGTTCCCTCGGTTGCATTTCTTTATGGTGGGCTTCGCCCCGTTAACCAGTCGAGAGACCCGTTCATTCCGCGCTGTTACAGTCCCAGAGCTTGCGCGGCAGATGTTTGATATAAAAAACATGATGGCCGCTTGTGACTTCCGCAATGGCCGCTTTCTGACATGCTCTACAACCTTGTATGTAGTCCCCTGTTTCAGATCTTACTTTGAAACTAACCAGACCTAAGTCGTGGCAAGGTCTCCATGAGAGAAGTTGAGGATCAAATGCGCAAAATGCAGAGCAAAAACTCTGATTACTTTGTCGAATGGGTGCCTAATAATATTCAGACAGCGCTATGCTCCGTCCCCCCGCGGGGACTCAAGATGTCTGCGACCTTCGTGGGTAATTCCACATCCATCCAAGAGCTGTTTCAGCGTGTGGGTGCCCAATTCAGCGCTATGTTTCGCCGCAAAGCATTTTTACATTGGTATACAAGCGAGGGTATGGATGAGATGGAGTTCACAGAGGCGGAAAGCAATATGAATGACTTGGTATCGGAATATCAGCAATACCAGGACGCCACAATCCCCAACCACGAGAATCAAGATTACCCCTAGAAATAGCTCCAGGACACTCGGCGTCATGAAGCTCTAGGTCTTTCTTGCCTGGCTGTTGAGCCACAGTAAATTGTCCTAATTCTTGGAGACTGATGGCCAAATGGGCCTGCGCAATACTGCCTTTAATAAACATAATCGGATGTCGCTTGGAGTCTAAATTGCATTCCTCAAAGCGTTTAATATTATGAGTAACTGTAATAGAGAGCTTGACTGTTTTAGGAGTATCCCAAGTGAAATATGTTGTCGTTACTGGAAGATGACTAAGGCGTAAAAAGGCCGGCTTTTCGGTAGATTCTCTAAAGCAACCTCTGGATACTAGGGCACTAGTTCTGCAGCGCGGAGTCTATACAATATTGTATGTGCCTTGAAAGATTTTGTCAAAGCAGTTTAACGCGCCGTCAAAGAACTTACCTTGAAGACTTCCCTGCAGTCTCTTGATTACCCCTTGTTTACATCACTTTAGAGCTCTAATGCGTTCTGTTTTGTACTCAAAATAAGCTCTGTTTTGTCTGCCATTTTATCTAAAAGGGTCCTTTTGACTTGCAAGCATGCCCAGATCTACGGGCGTTTCATGATATTCTATAGGGTTTTCAGGTGACACCAAGGTGACCTAGATTTACTAAGGCAGACCTCTCTTCCGGGTTGTCGGCGTCCAAACAAACCGTTCGGAAGCATATGGATTTCACCTCCCAGCATTCCACTTCATCTTGCTCATTAAAAAGCTCACCCCAGAGCGGAATCATGGACTGTATTATACCGCCTCCAGGAATCTTCGAGACAATCCTCACATATCTGGATCTCGACTCGGTCAAGGCACGTCCAACAACGCAAAAGCTCGCAGAAAAGTGCATCGGACCCCGGTTTTTAGGCTTCATTCAACAACCCATTCTCGATGTATCGCCGCAGAGTCTTCGTTCTCTTCATACCTTGGCTTGTAATCCTGCTCTCAACAAGACGATCTATTCTCTGACTTTACTAGCAACAAGCTTGGACTCGTCCGAATTAGAGAAGAACGTGAAATCTGGAAAACACACCATGTGGCAATTTAATGGGCCCATTTTTCAGCGACTGAGACCGCCTTTTCCCATGAGTAACTTTCAAAACGCCAAAATTAATCTGAACTGGTTAAGAGAACAGCAAGAAGCAAGAGCCAATGAGTCGCCGAGCGAGACGGTTGAACTTCTTCAACTTGCGCTCAAAGGGTTTAGCTAGTTGGGATTCTATCCACTTAGATGGTGCGTTCATCGTCGGACGTACGCAGAGAGAATCGGCTCGGCATGGAGAGTGGCGTCCGCTCTGGATGCGAGTCTCGCACGTATTCTCCTTGATTGTGACGGCCATGGTGCAGAGCGGGGCCTCGGTGAAGAAACTCGATGCATATCGCAGTACTCCCAGATGCTGCATTCCATCTGGTGATGCCACCACCTATGCACCAAGTCTCAACCCAAAGCAGCTAAGGATTCTAAGCAAGGGCCTGCAATCCCTCAAGCTGAGCATGTCTGGGGAGATACAGAATGCTCTTGACATTGCCGAATCAGATGAAGACACACTAAGTGAAGACGAAAAAGCATCTCACAGCACATTTGGCTCTTCGAAGGGACACTTATCCCGCGATGATCCTCGTACAGTGCTAGCTGATGGGTCACCAGGGATTACATCCCTTCTCAAGTCTGCGCCAACTCTTCGAGAGCTGGATTTATCTTTCCGTCACACCCTGGAAGGTGGGAAGCTGGACAGCTACGACCGGATCATTGAAAGTTCGCCCACGAAATCCATTTCCCGATACTTGAAAAATGTTTCTGGATTTCCGGCAAAAGGGGAGTCGATTTTGCTATTTCTCCAGAAGCACACCGACCTCCGCTCCTTCACGTTGCATGAGTGTACTTTGACCGCTGGTTCATGGACACCGATCGATCAGCCACAGCGTTGGACAAGCTTCCCAACGACTAAAGGGAAATGTGTGCAGTCCGCTAAGGAAGAAGCGTCTCAAGTTGGAAATGACTTCAATGATAGCGGAGAGAAGATTACGGTTACTAAAGGCTGCATGGAGGTATTGGGCATTTCTTGACCTGCGGACTTTTCTATTATAGGTAACATATCTTTTGCCCCTCTTGGACAAAAGCCAAGTTCAGAGCGACCACTCTTGTCAATGGGGCCCTAGTTAACGGGGAGCAACTCTTCTGGAGCTAGTTAATACAACTACAAAAACGCGGAAGTCGCATTTCGAAGCCGGCTACAAAATATATTTTCCCGCTTTGTAATGGCGCCCACTTGCTCTGGCAGAGCAGCTTCTATACACCCTTACGAGGATGGAGTGGGCTTCCTCAAGCTATAATACCACCTCTGATCATCTTTAACTTGGAATAAACCGACAATGATGACCATTCACTGATATCAACCTAAGCTGTCGTTACGATGTCAAACTGGTAACCTGGCAAGTATATCTTCAACTGAAGATTGTAACTATTTCCAGGCTTCAAAGGTACATCGACAGAAACATGCCTGGCGGGAATATATCTTAATGCGCGCCTAGTGCGCTGTGGGTGGGACATCGAGAAACAGAGACAGAGAGATTCGAGGTAAAACTAATTTCAAACATTACTATATTATCTGAATGGGAATGAAGGAATAGTAAGGTTAATATCTTGGATCCCGTATATATAAAGACTACGTCCTTAAAGTAGCAAATGCAATATCCGGGCGCAACAGCCTTCCGCCCAGGGAGGCATATCAGGGTCAAATCTAACTGGGCCTCGCGAGCCATAACCCGCAAACGGGTTGGAGTTGTCAGCCCGTTATCCTAACTCGCGGATTTGCGGGTTGGAAAGACGAACCCTCGCCCGCTGCTCAAACCCGAAGGGTGACACGCTTTGATTTGATTCCTCAGGCTTTCTGTGGCCAAAGGCCGCATGTAGCCCCTTAGCAGAGTATGTACGAGGTCTATTTTACGCTTATGTACACCTCTTTATTTGACTTGTATCCTTTATCTTTCTGTTCCTTAAGTCGTCCTGTGTTCACCATAAACCGGAGAATCGCACATACTTCTGCCAGGTTTGGTGAACCTATTCTATTAACTACTTGGCTATTAGGTAAAACACCATTGGACCTTCTAGTACGTAAGAAATATCTGTGTATCTCATTCACAATACTTCTATTATCTCCCGCCGTAGGTGGCTCTATTTCAGGCAGTAGAAGAGGATATGTGCGACTGTCTCTCTATTGTTACTATCCTCTCTATATCTACACGTGTTGTTGTTAATACAATAGATTCTCTGCAGGTAGCCATGTAGTCGAATTCGCCCCGTACACAGCTGTGGCAAAAGCGTCGCTTGCGGTCTTCATATACTGCCGAAGAGGACTTTCGTGTGCTTCCCGGGAAGGACCTTGCTAAGCGCTCGTGTTGCCTGGCCACAGCATGCGGAATTGAATTCCTCTTTTATCTGAGCATTCAGCCTCCGGTATCCCAGCCTCCAGGTCGCGGGTGCCATTTGTATTGGGGCCCCTTGCAGGGTATTCGCCTCGCTCGCCTGGAGGGCCAGTCCGTCGGCCCCGCGTACTTGTTCAATATCTGACTCGCTTGGTGTCTGCAGAACCTGGATCTGTAGTCCTGGTCCATTACCATACGAGCTAGCCGCACGATCGCCATTCGCAACTTCTGTCCACTCTGAAGCCGATTGGGGTGAACCAATGGTAGAAGTGACGCGGGGTCAATGGTACAAATCACTGCTTGGATATCCATAGTTGCATTCGAACCTGAGTTAACATCTCCTCGAGGTATTTTAGCGCGTTATTGATTGTATTGGAAGTGCGGGATTCTGTATCACCTAGTAATCTACCGCTGAATTCTAATGGGTGCAAATAATGGATTGATGAGGTCCCTTCCTGATCTAGTGGTAAAATGAGCGATATATATATAGGCCTTAAGTTGATCACTAAATCCTGCCATATCATGAAGATACAGGATGATACAGGATGATGTTATAGGTCTCGAGATGTGCGTCTTGATGTTCGCCGCGTCCCCTGCTAGTCCGTAGCACGTAATGGCTGTGCGCTTGCGGTTGTGTATATACATTACAAGTCAAGAACCCACTTTGCTGCTTTGCTCAGCTGAATGCGTAATATCCATATCCGCGCCCGATCGCCCATTCTCTTAAGCCCTAGATTGTACAGCGGTTCCGAGGCAATAAGCAGTCTCCCGGTGCTAAGAGACCGCCCACTCACCTCCCGTTGGTCCGATAACTTCCATGTTTGGCGTCGGCTCCGGACACAATAGCGTCAACAGCTTGAATGGAGTTAGAAACCTTCTCCATTACTCCGCTACCGTATTGGGGCAGGCTCAGGCCCTGAAGGGGTGGATTTCGAGGTAGAGTATGGTATAGGATCCAATTTTTTAGAACCCACTTCCGCAGCCGTACTATAGCGGGCTCGATGCTAACCCCCGTCTCGACAATCCGCAAAGCGACCGTTTTGTAGTATCCTATAATGGCTTGGCAGGCAATCTGCAGAATTGTGCTCAATGGTTTCACGATCCATCGTGCAATCATATTGCGTCTGTTCGGACATTCCCTATGGTTATACCAAGACCCGAGAGCTCCAGAATCTTTTTATGTCGGCTTACTCCGACATCGAGGGCGAGAACACTGCTCAGCGGATGATAATCTTGGCGCCGCTGCATGTGAATTTGCGGAGCTCCCTCTGGGGAGTTCAGCGGCGCGGATTTTCAGGGTTATCTCTTCTGTAACCGTGCTTTTCTCTCAGCAAAATCTTTTACATAATATATCAATCCCACGCGCCACTGTACTCCAACTTCGTCCTCTTCCGCTCCGGCCCTAGAACCTTCGGCTTCAGCCCCAGCTCCCGGTACTCAGCATGGACCGCATCTACGACATCTTGATCCTCATTCTCAAAGTCGGAATCCATGTCCGTACACGTGTGGCTCCGGCACGCACACACCAGCACATCGGGCAGTTCAATCCTCCCGAACGATTTGAGCCCGTCACAGAAGGCTGTCTCCGAGCACTGGCCCCACCAGACTAGTCTGTGCGGGTAGTTGACTTCGGTCAGGTCGTGGTCGAAGAAGAGCAGCTCGAATAGTGTTTCCATGCGCAGTCCCTCCTTATGTAACGGATAGGACGTTTTCGGGGTCTGTGTTACTTTTTTTTTTTATTATTATTTAGGTAGATTCTTATTTCATATAGTCAAGGTCTGGGAGATGTATGATGGAGGCTAAAACGAACCATGACTTCATAGTGGCACCCATAGCCGGAAGGGACTATACCAGTGTTGCAGGGTGCCGGAGACTGGTGGCGGCTGCTGGAGGAGCATGGAGCGCCAGCTGGCCTCGGGGCGCAGATAGGCTGTGCATTTGCACGGATGGGAGATTAGGTCGAGGTCGCGGATGCTGAAGCTGTGGAAGGTTCCTGGGAAGGCGGTGGTTAGGAGCGGATTGATGGTGTTCTTGGTCTCCTGGGGACGGGTGTGACAGGGACGTTCGACGGGGCTTGAAGAATAGGGTCCCCTGCAGGAAGGGGGATTCGCGGATTATGTGGCGCCATTGGGAGCAGACCCGCTGGGCGGAAGTGAGGAGGGTTTGTAGGTCGAGAGATAGTAGGATTAGCTCGAGAAGCTCGGACTGGGAGAGGGCTCGATGCATCGAGTTTACGCGTTGACGTTGATGACAGAATTATAATTAATATGAGTGTTCAGGGAAAGTGGAGAGAGCGGAAGAATGCGAGAGGATATCTATAGAGCCTTGTAGTGATGGAGTCGGGGCCCCAGAGAGGTTAGTTAGATTGATGTCCGCTTATCTAATATGCTAATCAATTAACTATACAGGGAGGTCAATTGGCCTGTGGTTGAAGTAGATACAAAAGGTTTAAACTACAGCTGTAGATAGGCGGGTTGGTAATATTGGAATTGATGACTGTCGATAGAGAGAACCTATAGTTGATTATTGTGAAGCTTGTATTGCTTTCGTTACTGTGGATGGACGAGGTTAATCCTATTTTGAGTGTCGTTTTTATCTAAGAATGACTACAAATCTAGCCCTGATAGAAGGTATACGAAAGAGCGACTAGGTCTTATAGGATTCATGACACATCGAAAGAAGACTAATTCAATTGTAGAGAACGAAGTAGACCAGGGACTTGCTGACTGCTCATTAAATTCACACGAACAAGTAAGGAAAACAAAATGCAAGATTTCAACTACAAAAATCCAACACTAGGAATCATTCATCGTTTCCCAATCGTCCTTGGATAGACTGGATAGAGCAAGAGAGAGAGACTTATCCCTTTCGCAACGAAGTATATAGCACGAGGCGAGCGTGGAGACCCGTGTGTTTGTTTTTATATCTATATGTAGTTTACTGTCGACGATATTACGCATTATTGGTAGCTTCCTCATCGCGCTTCTTGGGTAACACTGATAGAACCATGACGCAGTAAACATAGATATACTTGATGCGCTGTATGTCGGACACAAACAGGCACCCACGAACGCGTTATAAAGGACTAACTGAGGTACTTAGGTATAAGGTAGGTACCACGAAGGGTATGCAGGACAGTATACGAGGACCAAGAATATATAAGAACGCTTATTCATGGATTTAATTTATTTCTTTATGATCAAATGCAATTATTACTATAAAGCTATCTTTATTATTAATCGACCAGTATCAGCTAACTCGTTTGTACTCTTCTAACTATTGAGTATATATATTTATATATAATAGGTCTGGCCCTCCTAGACTAGAGCTTGTTTTGGTGGTGTTAGTGACTAAAATTATAAAGGCTCCAGATAGGTCTGTTTTAACTATCTATTCATCTACCGACCGAGCCACTTTGCAAGGTGTTTACCGATCCCAACTAGGCTGACTGTTGGGGCGGGAAAATCCCAGGGCATTTGGGATGAGATGGGATTTTGGAATAGGAAATAGAAACTCCTGTCCTGGTCCAAAATCCCCAAATAATTCCAAGAATTAAATGGGGCTTCCATCCTAGTTGTCACAGATCTAATAGCGATTCGACCTCATGACCGTACAGGATACCCTGACCCAGGTGCATGGACAATCGGCCCCCGATGGGGAACATCAGGCCATAAAACGGTTTAGACTGGCAAACGGGGAGGGAAGGGGATGTTAATGAGGGGAGCTTAACCCTCTCCACAACGATTTGGGTTTCAACTGGAATTCTGCATCCCTTAGGCGCAGAGCCTTCAGCTATAAATTAGCGAATCGTTAGTAGTAGAAGGAGATCAAGAATCAGCCTCCTGTCTGAATAGCATCTATTACCTAGTTTGATCTTTCTATCTCCTTTAGCCTACGTATCCTTACCTACTTGACAGCTCTTTATTCTGAATAGTAGATACCCTTGACAATAACAGCGCTAGAGCTGGGGTCAATAATTGTGGGACAATAGAAGATATATCGAATATTCTGACGTTGTGATATAAGCTACTCTACCTACAAATTATACTCTTTCTCTACCGCCGGTTACATAGTGCCGGAGTATTAGATAGTAAATATAGGGGGGCTAATATTTGATAAATACGGTACTCACCTCGGCTTGAAGTCGTAGAGAAGGAAAAATAGAAATTTTCTTTTCACAAGATTGTGTCTGTAGGATATCCCTAGCGCGACATGAACTTGGCTTTGGTTATTCTTATTTAGTAACTGGTAGGCTAAGCGGTAGCTGCTACCCAACTATCTCTAGTGCTACAAGCCTCATCGCGGGAACTGCCTTTGATTAGCGGATTTGCCTCCTGTTGTGTATAGTGGCGACGCATTGAGACTACTGGCATGTAGCAAACAACGGCCAACCGCTTGCACACATACTCCAAACTTTTTACAGCTTCTTTCCATCGTGTGTGCTTACCCGCCTCCTAATTTTCATGATGTGCACCTATTTTTTGCTCAGGTCTTAGTTATCCAACAATGATGATTGGCTCTGAATGGTATGAACGATATTATGTGTAAAAGGGGCCTGCCCAATCTTAAGAGTGCGGATCCGGCTGTCCACCGAGGACTAGATACAACAACTCTCGTTATATGTTACTAGCTGTGGCCGAGATAGCATCAATATCCATTGTCAATGAACATATGCAAGCAATAAATTGTGAATAAATGTATGCAAAAGGTTACATTGATCGTTCACTATTGTCAATCTCCTGTTTAATCAAGCCAAGCAGAATACGAGACAGCACTAGCCAACACGTCAGACGACAGGATGATCGAAAAGTGCGGGAGGTTAAATGAGCGCGCATGCTTGATAGGTCAGATGTCCATGCTTGCTACTTACGCCCTGCCGCTGACATGATACGAAGAATATTATTGTGCTGCCTAAAATATAAAGATAATTTAAGACTTAAATAGCTTTCAAACTACCCCGCCGGAAACCACGGCCATAGGTTTATTCTTCCCGAAATTTTTTAATAATACTAAGTTTCGGATTACAGACATGACGAAGCCTTCACTCAATCCTGAATGGAGAGCATTTCTTGCCCGGAACCATACGGTCAGCCACGATGACGACCAAAGGAATGCGGCTTTCTTCAGTTCCACAGACGGTAGCCTACTCGCCGCACACGTATCAAGCGTGGACACAAGAGTTCCAGCCAGAGATGATCACCAGATCCCCATTCGGATCTACGCACCTAAAGAAGATCAGTCATCCGACAGAATCGTCATATTCTACCACTCGGGTGGTTTCGTGGAAGGCAATGTTGACACAGAAGACAGTATGTTTTAATTCACATATCACCGGTTGCTAAAAATCGATAAAAAATTAACTGACCCGCACCATAGTCTCTTGCAGGTACATGGTTATGGGGAGTCGTAGCACTGTCATCAGTGTCAACTATCGGCTCAGTCCGACATATGCGTATCCAGTCCCTATGAATGATGCCTGGGACGCGTTCGAGTATGTAGTGAGGAACCTGTCCATTATTGTGCCGAAGCACATACCTCCTGTCAGGCTAGTTATTGCTGGAACCTCATCGGGAGGACAGCTCGCCGCCATAGTCTCGCAAAGAGCGAGAGACTGGTTGCAAGATCCAAGGACTGCAACCGTGGCTGCAAATATCATTCTGAGTGGGGTCCTGCTCCGAGCACCGGTGACTGTACGTTCCACAGATAGAGCCTTTATACCACCGGCTTTCAGGGAGCTCCACGGATCCTGGGCAGAAAAATTGGAGACAAACCTTGATAGATTGGGAATGGCGGAAAATCATGGTTTGGGATTCTTCACACGGCTTACAGAGGAAGAGTGCACTTTGTAATGCTGACTATCGGGTACTAGATCTTCTTGGGGTTCCTATAGCGAAAAGAATACAGCCTGACGCTTATCCCCTATGGGGCCGATTTGGCGGGCTGCCGAAGACATACATTCAGATCTGCGAAGTGGATATTCTCCGCGACGATGCAGTGTGCTATGCACAAGGTTTACGAAGCGCAGGGGTGGAAGTGCGTCTGTCGATGTACGAGGTATGTTGCTGGTAGCTCATGTTCTTGTTTTAGAAGCGAGATCCTAATGCACTCAAAAGTCGCTGCCGCACATTTTCTGGGTATATGCCCCTCAGCTAGAGGTCTCGAGGCGAGCACAGGAAGACTGTGTCAACGGTTTGGAATGGCTCTTAAGTTCCGTGGAGTAAATAGACTAGGTCGATTGGAGCTTGCTGATCGTCCGTCACTCGGATTTCGATTCACTCATGTGACAAATTGACTGGTGCTTGCACTGTTTGTACATAGCTTGCTTATTTCCCTACACACGTCTCGTCTCGCGCCCCCCAACCCTCTCGCTTGAGATTCTGCTTAGATAGAACCAATATTATCATATTGCACGGCCATCACATTATTTCAAGCGCCACTACTACTCTCTCCTCTATACTGTACGCGGTATATAACAACCCGTTGGTATTCAAAGCCCTCGCGTCCTTTGGCAACGCTAGTCTACACTACTATTACCCACCAAGTAACCCGACGCCAGCGGTTCGAAATCGGGATATCGATCTCCGGAAATGCCTTTTATTTTAAGCATCCATAACTCCCACTGGAAAGAAGCGTTTGCTACTTCTTTGAAGGCTTCGTGGAAGCTTAAATCGGAATTGTCCTTGATCTCGTCGATGTAGAAGGGTGAGGTATGATCATGGCACTTGAGCTAGCATGAATTTGGAAGATGGATCTCCCCTATCAGTACGTGGCCAGAGTGAGCTCCGCCCCCTTTACTTTCATGCTACGGAAAGTAGACCTGTTGGAACCCCTGGGTAATTAAGTCCTTCGCTGGGGTCATGAAACGAAATCTGGCTCTGTAGCTGCTAAATGTTCAATTACCTCTTTAACTCACGTAAATTTCCAAACTTTGTAGTCGGACATCACTAGCAGTCAAAGCTAGTAGTGATGAAATGAAAAACAACAAGGTTAAAAAAAATACAACAGCATTAGTATGACTGTGCTCACCCAAGGCCAATCGTGGGCGTCTCGCCGCTCTTAGCGGCCCTTCAGGGCCTCCTTCAGGGACCTGAATATTCTTCACCCGAAGGACGAGAAAGCGCATTTTCGTTGCTGTACTAAGAAAGGCTACCGTAGTAATAAATGGCGATACACCCATCGCATTTCCCATTTTAACTTTGCTGTATCTCACCAGGTCCCATCTTCAAGCTGATCGTGTTTAACCCTACGAGTCATTGATACTTTCCAGCTGCGAGATTTAGTAACCGCCATGTTACCAGAAGGCTTTAAGACGATCAAACTTGAAAACCACAATAATGCCGAAATAAAAAGATCTGTTCTTGATCATACTAAAAGAGAATATGACCGTGCCCTTACATATTTTGATATGTAAGGAGTATCCAATCTGAATCTACCTGACCGCTGCTGATTATACTAGTTTTGTCGCAAATCGTGAAGGTGCTGTGTCGCCACCAGATATCCGAACCTATAAAGGCTTTATGGAATTCTTAGGGAAGAATCTAAAAGGACACCTTACTAAAGGCAAGACTCCGGTTCTGAGTACTCTTGAAGGGATGAGAAGAGACCTGGACACTGGTCTTGCCTGACGGCGGAGCTGCCATGTTCCAGAACATGTCAGTACAACAATTAAGGAAGTTAGTGCCCTTACCATTGGCTACAGTCAGTAGGCTGACTAGGGACTTAGTGGATGAAAAAAGAACTGAAGTGACTGTTGGAAATACCTGATCTTCAAATGTCAAGAAACGGGTTCTCTTGAAATGATCTCAGAATTATTCAAAAACACCTGTGGTGTCAGGACTTATATGAATACCGTGGGATATGTCCAGAGAGGTCTAGCGTAGAGCTCAGTGTATCGATGCTCCTTTACTGCTTTACATCAGCTAGGACGGGCGAGGTGTATAAGTCTACAGCTTGTCAAAACCTGGCGCACGAGCATGGGGGACAGAAGTAGAAAAGAATATAAGCACGGCTATCATGGCTGCTTGCTATAAGGTAGGAACAACTTCTTCAAGCTTATGTTATACTAACTTCACCATAGCACTTTCGCCTTAGTATTGAGTGGATCGGAGGCGAAATCATGCTCGTCCTTTACTATGACCGAGACTATCTCAAGGGCTTTTGGAGAAAGGACAAATCAGAACTCCCCATACACGGTTTCTATGAGAAATACACAGAAGAAATGCCGCTTACCCTGAACCTCCTTACATTCTTCCTTCCTTTGGCATCAGCTGACAAGGCCTTTCGTGACTATGATTCAACAGATGGGATATTGGATAGAGTAGATCTGCTAGCTGCTACTCTCCAGGAAGGAGATGATAAATCCGTTGACGCTATCCATTTCAAGCCAAATATCCTAAACACACCGGTCTTTTGTCCATACAATGAGCAAGCTATCGTGTACAGTACTGGGAGATCAAGGGAAGCTGATGCTTTTGGTAAATGTTTGCAGCACTTGGACACCGGGCGGGGTATCCTGACAATATAACTGTCCGTGCTTGCCGACGATCAGCTCTTATGGAGGCTGGTTAGTACTCTTTCTATTCACGGAGGTAAAAAAAAAAAAAAAAAAAAAGAACTGAATACTTCCAGACAAGAACCACTCAAAAACAGCCCGCATGAAGTTCGCCGGACATATAAACCCCGGAACATTTAAGGCAATCCTACGTACATCATGTTGTCGAGGTAGATGGAGCGGCTTCATTTCTTGGAATCGACAGCAGACATGATCATATTGAGAACAACCGCAGTATGGGTGCTCGTCGTAATCCCCAGCTTTACCGATCATTACCAGCTAAAGCAGAACTCGAGTTCCTTGATCATAATAACATTGCCCGGATTGATAAAGACATTCAATCTTTAAAGAGACAGCTAGCAGGTTTAAATCTCCAGAATACTAAGTCCATCCAGCAGCAGCGGCAGCATCTTGAAGCGCGACGACAACGGCTCTATTTAGATGAACTGGCCCGCATACGGCGAGATCAGCCTCGCCGGCCTGATTAATGACTGAGAACAGTGCGCAGACACTTTTTTATTATGTGCAAAAAGTAATGCCGGAGCGTGACCTACTAGCAGTGATTCCCCCCCAGGTGGCTGAGTTACATAGCCCCACTGGATGTATGGCACTCCATGCCTTGGAGACCATCTTCTCGCAAATAGCTTCTGTTTGTTACTGGCCAAGCATTGCGCCCGTTGATGGAAAATGTCTCTGTAGTGAACCAATGGAAAGGTAAGAACTCTTCACCCTTCTGTATGGACAGATATGCATGTGGCTAGATATCAACCCCTATCGGCGGTGGCTACGTCTGTATCGCTGCTATGCCAAACACCTTTCCGCTATCAGTGTTGACAATTTTGCGGAACTTTGTGTCGAATGTGACCTATGGTATAATGACCTTGGAAAGAGGCCTGAACATTGTGAAGAACATCTCGGTGATAGCTATAAGTTGCTTCGTTGCGACCCGATTATATTTCGCAATGCTCCTGTCAAGCTGGCCTCTGTCCGTTCTGTTTGGGAGAAGAGATTATGGGCCCTCGCAAACACATGATGCAGTATTTTGATCGCAGCGAGTGATATAAGCATGTTCAGTCCCATCTCAGTCACAAAGCTCTATCAGGTATGTTCCATCGTCGCCATCCTGCCTGCCATGAAGACTTTCAAGGCATCACGGATCTAGAATACCATCTCCGTGATGTGCACTGCTATAACCCCCCGCGCGGATAGAAACGAGCCATATATCATTCTGGTACCGAAAGGTGAATAGGCAATTATGTACATACAATTAGATGCCTAACCCCTGTCTTTCTTTGTTGAAGAGGGGTAATAGGAATAAATTTACGCTCACCCTCAGCATATATTGCATTACAGTGGCATTTACAATAGGGATAGCGCCTCGCCGCCCTGTCGCATCCCGCTTCTACATGATTCCCGACCTCAGGAATATCTATGAGACTGTACCGTAGTGTGTTGGGTTGTGTGTGGTATCTCAGAATTCTTGCTTCCAACAATGTAGACTGGGAGTTGACCTAGTCGGATCCAGGAGTTACTAGCCTACTTTCCAGTATTAATGTGTGAGTAGGAACTGTTAGTCATCTTTGCAATGCGCATGTCTTAAATCTTCACATATAGTATTAGCCCCACATTTATCACAAGTTACTCATGAATCATCTGATATCGGTACTCATCTCTGGCCAATAAAAATTCCATAACCTATACTAACTGATCAAGGCCCGTATCAGTCATGTATTGGAATCTTATAAAGACTGAGATCCTCTTAACAGGACATAGCTGCGCGCTTGGACCAACAATACTAAAAGTTATATTTTTTTGGTGTTATATCAATACACTTTTTGAAATTAAATGAAAGGCTTACTTGACAAAATCCCTATAACATATCTAACTGGTGTTAAGGTAACTTATAAATAATATTAGCCAGAATACTGTTCAGCTAAACTTAATAACAAGTAAAATAACTCTAGTGTATACCTTAAATTAGATAATAGAAATGAATAATGGCCAGCCATCTAGTAGATGTCAGCTCTAATGGCAAGATATAGAGCAAACAAAGAACAATCATCTAGCATTCATTAAGCAGCTTATAAATAGCTATATTGGGCTATCTAAGCAGATAATTTATCTTGTTCAGTCTCTTTACTTGCTATTCCCACACCGTAAATGTTGTTGTAGCTATCTAGGCTAGGCATATATAATATCTGGAGTTTATCCAAAGTCTCATTATCTAGGGCTGTCGATTCCGCATCTGACTAGTTATTCCCAGAGCCAGAGGACTTTCAGTACATGTCCAGTGACAGGCAATATTCCGATAGCTATATTCTATTCTTTCAAGACACTATTATCCAGGATATTTCCATCAGCTTAAACCGCAGCAGCAAAACTCAAAGCCATCCGCTTATCTAAGAGAAATTGGGAACTACTTTCCAACTGTTAATTTTGTAACTGAAAAACTTATATGTGTCGTGAATCGAGGCTCGACTAGATAAACTATAAAGCTTCACATACGGAATAAATTCCGTTTAAGGATCAGATTGATTTCCAATCAATCTGGTCCTCATGTTGTATATAAACCCTCAAGTTTATGATGAGAAATGTGACCATCAATCTTCTTTTGAACTACAACAGAATCATTTCAGATCAAGCTATCAAAGATAGCATATATGAGTGACAAGGAATCCTGCTCGAGACATCCTTAGGCAGGAATGAATATCTTGTCCACTCTGTGAATACATCCAGCTCTTCAGGACGTCTCTACACACCCACGCATACATAGTATCCAAGCCACAAAGCATGGCAATCAGCCCCTACATGCGGATTCCACTTGTTAAAATTATCGGCACTGATGTGAAAATCCTGCTGGATCTGCCAGCAACCATCGCCATCCCTTGTAAGGTGCCATTTCATGCAAGTGTCAATAGTGTCTGGCATTGGCTGAGCGGTCTTCACTGCAACGCAATAGTGGTAGCCTAGTAGAATCTTGCATGATGAGCCTACCGCTGGATTCCACTTGATAAACTGATCGCCAGTCATGTAAGTGAACTTTTTATTGATAATGCCCCAGCAGTCATCTCCGGATTGGACCTCATAGTAGGTGACGCAGTCGGTGGCGGTTCCTGGTTGAATGGGGGAGGGAATAGTTGTACTGGGGAGAGTAGGTGTTGCTCCGGCACTCGATGTGGTAATATGATCGGCTGGTGTTGAGGTCGTCGTCGGTCTTGTGGAGTCTAAACTACCCGTCAGCTCTATCGCGTCTGGTCCAACTCGGGTGTGAAAACGTGTAAATGTGGCAATGGACGCGCCAGCAATACCGACACAGACATAATTGTCCTTCCAAAGGAAACGGCAAGTGGAACCAATGGCTGGATTCCACGTGTAGAATTGCTGCAGTGTAATGCCGCATCTAGTAGCTATAGTTTCGCATTCATCACCGTCGACGACATAGTGCCATTTGTTGCCTACTCTCGATGACATTGTTAACGCCAGCCAGTAAGTATAACTGGGATACACCGACGAACATAAAGGCAGCTTACAATTTGCTGGGACACCTGTTTGGTGTGGTTGGGGATCTGATGCAGGGGATTCTTTACTGGTATTGCTCGGAATCGGAGTAGTAGACCCGGGGGTGCGCGTCTCAGAAATAGTGGACCTGGATTCAGTGCCCACGCAGACATAATAGCCTGGTTGTATACCAATACATCCCTTACCGATGGAGCTGTATATTGGGTTATTCATGGTTAACTTAGTCCTGCTGCTGTCTATTCAAGGTGTATAGACTTACGGGTTCCAGGAATAGAACTGTTCAAGAGTAAAAGCCCCATATTTATCTTGAGTGGTGTAGCAGGTATCTCCCGGATGCACTAGATGATATTTAGTGCAGGATGAGGCGACACCACTTTGCGTGGGAGCCGCTATACTGGAGTATGTGATAGTGCCTGGAGGATCGGAGGGCCGGCTGGCTGTGGTGGATGTGGACGTTGTCGCCGAAGAGCGACCTGCGACGCAGTAGCTCCATCCACGAATCAGGATACATGACGATGATATAGATGGGTTCTAAGCAAGGTTCAGTAAATTAAATTTTCTTATATAGAAGAAGATGCATCCATTGATCAAGAAATCACACGCAACTAATTTGAGAAGTCCAAATTCCAACGGGATAAGGAAAAGTAGTTTGCAAGGGAGAACATAAACTCACCCAAATTTGAAATTCTTGCCTCGTGATCCCGAAGAAGACCTCAATGGATTCACAGCTGTCGCTGGATTCAATGTTGTTCGCCCAGAACTCGCAGCCATCAACAACGTAGGGATCAGTCATTCCGGTTGCACTGGCGCCATTGGACCACGCAATAACCGATTCACAAAGAAGAATCTGAAGAAGGATACAAACACCAAGCATTTTGATAAGGATATTGTCAATGGTGAAGGTGATGATAATCAGCAAACTGCCTGGCTCAATGGTTTAAGAATAGGGATCATACAGACGTAGGCGAGCAGCCGATGCGTAGGACGCCACTGGTCAAACTGGTGGCACGCCTATATGGGGTTGGGGTCAGGGTCAACCTCTAGCTCAGCTGTGTAAAGCCTAGTATATGCCCGTTCTGCTTCTTTGACTGCGATTAGTGTGGACTGACTAGCTGGAGGCCTGACCGAATGTATGCCTTCTAAAGTTAACCTAGCCTGGCATAGACTGGACTGTGTCGATTGTTACTATTTTCTATGCAACTGTCTAACGAGGCCGCAAGGTTTTACCTTGGCAGGATACTATGTGTCGAGGAAATTGCTATGGGTTACTAGGCTAGTGCGTCCTATAACAAGGCGTTCTTGGCATATAAGCTAGAGTAGCGTGGGAAATAAATCCGTAATCGATACTACATTGTGTCACGGCCACCAGAGCATCAGAAATAAAGACTTATGCACGTATGTGGGGCCTGTACATTCACAGTCAAACTTTCAATAGTTCCATTAGAGCGAACTCTGCGCTGAACGAGGAGTGTTCGCCCTTGAAACATGAGCTTGATACCAGGCGACGATTGGGTCCTCGTACCAGCAGCAACCGATCCACGAGCTCAATAGTAATATCCAGTTGAATAGTGCAACATGGAGACTATGCTATGTATCAGATCCATATTCTTCTCCACTTTCTTCGGATACTTCCTCTTCTCCTAGACAGGTAGGGAATGAGTGACGGGTGATGTTCCCATCCATACCATCGCCGTCTTCTCGATTCCATTTATCCTGGGATTCCTCAGATTCCTCAAGATGCTGCTCCAGATTTGCGCCTTTCTGTCGTAAGAATTCAACCATCTCTTGATCATGTCTTCGAATAGCCACATGTAATGCCCGATGTCCATACATCGCGGCTTCTACCCCATTATTGAATAAAAAGTTAAGCATGGTTCTGTCGCGGCGCTGTACCGCTAGCTTTAGAACACCTGCGTAAGATAGCGGGGCCCCATAATTCAGTAGCATTGCGATAATATTGTATCGACCATCCTCAACCGCGCGGTACAAGGGAGAGGGGCGATAGCGGTCTGGATCAGCCCCTTTTTCAAGCAAATATTTGACTAGATCCGCATGCCCACACCTGACTGCTAGAAAAAGTGGTGGAGGGTCTTTCGCGCGACTGTGTTGACGTCGGATCCGTCCGGGACTATCATCACGCAGATTCCCACGATAGAAGTTTGCCTGAGCACCCCACTCAAATAGAAGGGTTACGATCTCCGGATTATTTATTTCAATAGCAGCAAGTAAAGCCTTCTGGATCTGCACAATATCTGCCACACTGTACCTGGCAATCTTTAATGGATGAGCTGAGATGTCGCGGGTTAATGGTTTCATATCTTCATCATCCGAGTCCCACTCAACCTCATCTGAATCCTCTTCCCATCGCTCCTCAGCAGGTGCTTCGCTTCTCCAGCATGGTCTTGGTGGAGTTCGCAACCTAGTTCGGGCGGTTTGAAGTCCCTTTAGAAGTTTTTCCATGAGTCCTATATTTCCTTGTTTAGCGACAAACGCTAGTGCAGACCCATGGTAGTAGCGACTGTTGTATTCATAGAGATAATCGTGTAGCGTATGATAGAGGCGGCGGTTTATTCGTACCAGTGCATAGACATCCTGTTGACACGGTAGATATGACGCGATCAAGAAAAGTGTTTCGTTCGGTAGGCCAGTGAAATACATTGCACGAGAGCAAATCTGCCGGGAGGTGATTAAGAACTAGTGATGGAAGGGAGCCAAACAATGGAATAGGATTTTCTTATGTACAGGCAACACGGGGTCTAGTTTCGGCACTAGTGACTTCAGATGAGGGTATTCTAGACCCTGATAGACCACTGGTCTGTGCCCAAATTATACCCAAGCTTGGCCTTCAGGTTTCTTGTCAGTCCCCCGCCTCATTAACAGACAATCTGTTTAGAATCTGCGCTCAACCATTTACATGTCCTCCGGAAAGCGTCCTATCCATGTGCTTTTAGTCCCAGTCAATAGTAATACAATTCCTCTTTTTAGTCTTTCCATCCTCCGGGCATATGGTGTCCGGACTGTCATCAAGGCATTTTCCCGTTGGGTTAGCCCAATTACACTTGTCATAATACACGCCTTGTACACGTTAGAGACGCTGCTGGGGCAAGCTCAGTAAACACCCGATCAGCTTACCTAGTGCAAACAGGGCATGGGTGTCTAAAGGGCTGTTAGAGATGAAGCGGGAATTAAAATAGTGGACAGATCGTACCTGCGTTTTTGCAATGCCTGATTGGGATCTTTCCTGGCAAGAGCCTGCACAAGAGTTGCGCCATAAGCACCCTTGGTGACCCCTTCGTGCTGTATTGGCATGTCCACTGAAACTAGATTAGCTATATTCATTAGAACCAGTGCATCTTTGAGCTGGCAAGCTAACCTATCTGCTTTTCCAGGATATTCCACGAGTGGAAGGCCTCATGCAGAAGGGTATTTCCAGCAGCACGATTTTTTAATAGAGTGAGATATTTGCCCTTCATTCCCGAGAACGGAGTCCCTGCAAAGTCAGATAAAAATGGAGGGGGTTCACCGGCCCATTTATTCCACGCAAGCGGGCAGAGTACCATTTCTTCCTGTTCCAGCATTTCATTGTAAAATGAATAGGCTTTAGCTGCTGGATTTTCCCTACATGTCATCATCGGTGCTTGGGTCTCCACATACACGGACGTCCCTTTATGTTTCTCCCGGGTGTCCTTGTATCTCCCTACATTCCGCGGGCGACAGTCAGTTCATTCTATGGACAGGGGCAATGCAGACCGATGACACAACTGGTTAATAGTAACTCACGGAACCTGTCTCCATTTTTGTCGATGCGATCATTTTCATACACAAGCCAATTGTCGTTGCAATTGACAATCAAATCAAACTTCCTTCCGGAGTTTTCTAGAGCATTTTTGATCTTGGTGAACCGTACTGCAAATAGGTCAACAAGCAGCTTTCATAAGGCTACCATAGATATGCTAGCATACTTCTCACTTTATTCATATTAGCAATAGTCTGCGCTATGGTGACCTCCCCGTCATTCCTTTTAAGGATTGGAAGCCCAAAGAAGTTACCCCATAGTTTGAAGTTCCGATACAATGTGGTGTATTTGTGTGGATTCCAGTCCTTCGGTTGGGTCTTTTCCTTGAAGATCTGTATTAAGTCCTTCATGGCCTGCTCAGCTCTCTCGGCCTATACCAGCTCAAGTTAGCAAAGGTCTATATTACATGTGAAATACATACCTGTGTCCGAGCTTCGCTAAATTACGACAGCAGATAGCGCTGCTGGGCTGGGCTGCATGTGGCTTCAGGGTTGATATAGCCTTTCTCGGAGATAGCAGTATAGTAATCCTCTGGTATAGCCTTATTATCATACCAAGCTTCTATAAATCTCTGCCCTTTAAAGATAAAGAGCGGAGTCATTACCTATCCATCTGCAGTGATATATTTAAGCGCTGTGATATTCTCTGCATGCTCTGCTTCAGTATTATCGCGAGGTCTCTTTTTCTTTGTCCCTAGTATTTTCTGATTCTTTCCTTGACCTGGTTGGAAGCCGCATTCGTCAAAGTTATATATGAGACGATCAGGGACCCCTTTAAGCAAGTTGGTGAGCTGAATATACCAAAATTGAAGTAATTTAATATCCTCTGTCTCTATACACTTCTTCTCCTTTGTTCCTTGCATCTCAGGGCCAAGCTGGAGGTGTGGAGGAAGCTTCTTGATAAAGTGATATGTCCAGGATCGATCAACGCGTCGCACAGATTTAACCTGCTTCAAGGTTTGATTTGCAAAGTCAATTAGAAGCAATACTGTGACAGGGAGGTAAAGATCTCACATTCTAGTAATCTATCTTACTAAGGCATCCTCTTGATACTGATTTAGAGCTTTATTTGTAGAGGGGCGACCATTTCGAGACTTTCTATGATCATGGATGCGGCCGTATAGAGTACAGTAAGGAACTCCGAATTCTCGCGCGATTTTAGCAATATTAGGTTTTTCAATTTGCTGGGCCGCTTTGGCGGCTTCATCTACACATCCATCATGAATTTCAGACACTTTAGGCATATTGGGTGGTTTGTATAGCTTCAAAAAGATGATATTTTATGATATTTTTAAAATCTGCCTTTAGGCCGAATCTGCCGGTAGGCCGCCGACCACCCACCGCCTTCCGCCGGTGGGTGGTCAGGTGGTCCGCCACAGATAATAGCGGATTGCGGGTGATCGACCAGTCGTAAATACCCAGTCTCCGCCACGAACTTTTTACAATCCGTCATCTTCCTAATCCCCTCCTTTTGATCATTATATATTTTTTTTCTCCGCGGAAAATAGACCACCTCCGCTCGAGACAAACTAGACAGAATCAGATTACCCACTGTAGCTATGTTTAGGCGCGTGAGACAGATCGAGCCTGACAGGTTCTCCATAAGACTGAGCAAAACACTTCAACCTCTCAATGTGTTTCCTTGGGGAGCGCTTGCAATGTGGTATCTAGGCGTCCCCATTGCCGTTGGAGTAACGTGTACCTCTAGTAGTAGAATTTGAGCCCAGTCATGTTCCAGCTAACCGCCTTTCTTTCTTCGTAGGCCCCCATGATTGTGGTGGAAGACGACGACTACACAGCCGCCATGGAAAAGCTCGAGAGCGCAGGATTCTACCGAAGTGTTCCCAATCGCACCCCTCCTCCGGAAGTCATGGAGGACCATCCAAACCCACAGCAGATGTTGGAGGAAATAAATGCTGGCTACAGCCGCTTGGATCGGTCTTGTGCAGTGTTTAATTATCCACACGGTGATCCAGCAGAAAAGAGCTTACAACTATTTTTATTTCCGAACACCTTTGCGCACGTTTCTCAAGAAGATATAAGAGATGCAGCGTTAACAAAACGATACAAAATCTACGGCAATCTTCGCTACCCACTGGAACAGGCGTTAGTGGAAAGCTTTGTAAAGGCTGCCATTGATGAAGAAAAAGAGACAGGGTTTTCTGCGTGGGGTGAGTCCCTGAGGTCCTGGATATCTCTGATGACAGGATACCTCGAGGTTGACAATGATGTCCTTGATCATTGTCCGGATAAACAGGCAGTGGAATGGTATAGTCACAACTTTGGTCGAATCCATGAAGCCAACTTCGGCCCTATCGATCGACGGATTTCAAAACGTCTCGGCTCGGGCAGAGATATGCCGATAGATATGAGGGGGAATCCTATTTGACAATGACTATCATTCAGCTACAACTACAACTATGTAGTGCCTGCTCGCCAGGGAACTATCAAAACAAGGCAATTCATATCAACTACCAGACATGTAACCAAAATAGATAGACGACTAGTGTTCGACTAGACCATAATCTTTTGTCCCATCAACGTTCACTGGTAGCACGTTTCAGCGATACTGGCAGCCCACCCGGACGTCCCAGAGGCCACCACACATTACCTATGGCCTCGACAATTGACTGAAGGGGTTTGCCGGAATTTCCTACCGGGGAATTTCACCGCTCAGTTATTAACTGGGTCGAAGAAGATGGTAGAGAAAACTTACTAGTTCTGGAAAATAGCGCTACATGGCCATATTTACAATAATCATGGCTCTGTTGAGAGCCTTAGCGATCGGTAACAATGCATAATGGGACGCCGTTCTAGATTACTATGGTCGATATGGAATTGTTCCATCACTTTATCACTCCAACTGACATTGGCGATTCGAAAAGCACGGCTGCAATGGGTGTGCACCAACGGATCCACCTTCCTCGCCTTGGCTTCTTTTATCCCTATGTATTGCGCCTTCTACTTGCCTTTTATGATTCTAGTTGGCACGGAGTCCAGAGAGCCTACGGCAGCAACAGTATGCTATCCGGGTCAATGGCTACCATATGGCAGCCGAGACAACCTTGCTATTCGGGAAGTGTCAGCCGCTATGCCGCGACTTAATAAAGAACATTGCCATGCGGTATATACCGCCGCTGCCTACATTTTCATCTGTTCCTTCATGAAGGGCCCTCGACCTTGTGAGTATCTGGCATTTCGGGATGACGGTTGAGAAGACTTTCTGACTTTGTTCCTAGGCTTCAGAACAGTACTAGAAATCTGCAGCAAGGTGTTTTCGCCTGGCGCAGTTTTGGGAAACACGGAAAGGGGATCAGATTCTAGCTCACAACGGGAAGAAGGTGCAGGGGCTCCAGTCAGGATCCAGCCTATCTCGTTCGAATATGGATATTGGCTGGACCAACTGCGACACTTTCTAGGATTCGAGCTGGAAGCTGATTATGCCCGGTATCCGATATATTGCACAGCAGCCGAAAGGATTTGGCCGTCTTACGAAGCTATATATAGCTCTTACCCGCCCACAATGACCGCACTGCTAAGCTACATGTGTACATCACACTAGTATAGTGACGTTGAAAGAGGACACGTCAGCAGGACAGGGGTCAAGCGGGGTCACTGGGTGTGCAGTATTGAGATTCAGGCGGTTCAGCTGAGCTTCAGGTGAAGAAGGTGAAGAAGGTGAAGAGAAAGCGGCGAGGGCGCTAAACCCAACGGATCAAAAAAACAAGGTAAACTCCAACATACAACGGCTAGCCGGGATTCGCTAGTGGTCACCCATCCAACTACTAACCGGCCGGTTGTGGCTTAAACGCGGCCAGAAGTCGGGTGGCTGCCGCCCGGGGAGCTAGCGGGTGAGCCGCTTTACCGTCGCGCGACCTCGGGTGGGCTTGGGTGAGTGCACAATAGATGGGGTGAGCCACTCACCCCAGGCTCACCAAGGCCACTCGACTTGCTCACTGGGCCCTGAGGGAAGACTAAGGTACAAGCGGCAAGGCGCGGCGGTGATAGGCAGCAGTTCCCGATTAGGAAACGTGGGAGGTGTGTTTGGAACTAAAGCATATGAGGGCCGGGAAAACCCTAATCCAGAACAGCTGGGCCTAAATGGAAATTCCACTACTAATAAAATTCATTCTCATAGAGCTCGATTTGCTTTTTACTGTCGGGCGGCCACTGGCTCATAATTCCATGCACGGGGAATGGGTCGATTCTCCGGAGGAGTTCTGCCGCAGTCAACTCGCATGACGCTAGCCGTAATAGTGGGGAGCGCTAGTATATTAATTACCACTGTCGACAAGGCAGCCTGGCCACAATTAAGAACGCTCACCCCTCCCTCGTTCTTGCCATCATTTATGTAACGTGGCTATGAAACGATTTTACCTTGGCGGAAATGGTCCCCATTCTCCGACATTCAATTCTCATCAAGTATAGCTTCAGATATGTATAGAAGGGAAAGTGCCCGTCGGCTAGTAGAGGAAATTGCCAAGGATCATGGCTATCTCGACGAGACGGTCCTCGGCACTATGCCGGCAGAGGTGCGGCGAAAGGTCGAGGAAGCCATGCTCAAGAAAGATGAGATGATCGGATCTTCTGTGATAACGTATGCAACCATCTCACTGACTGTGTGCTTTTCTAATTTGACATTACACAGACTATCCAAAAACCTTTACAATAGTAGTGCCAGATTTGTCTTTGAGCTACTGCAGAATGCTGATGACAACTTATACCATAAGGCACAATCACTCGGATCTATGCCCTACGTGTCATTTCGCGTATATCCCAAACGGATTGTGCTAGAGTGTAACGAGGACGGCTTCACTCCTGAGAACTTGACTGCAATATGTAGTGTGGGAAAGAGCTCCAAGCAGGGAGCTCAAGGGTATATCGGTGAAAAAGGGATTGGGTTCAAGTCCGTTTTTATGGTGGCCTGGAAAGTTCATATTCAATCGGGGGACTTTTCATTCTCGTTCAATCACCGACCTGGCGATTCCGGGATGGGAATGATATCTCCCGTCTGGGAAGAGCCTGAGCAGATCCCTGAGCCCCACCTCACACGGATCACTCTGTATTTGCATGAACCTAGCACAGATGAAAGCTTCTCTCGACAATACGAGACCACACTAGAGCAATTTCGAGAGCTCCAGGCTACATTCCTTCTATTCATGAAGAACCTTCGGCGGATCGAAGTGAAAATCCATAGTGATCGCGGCGAAGAGACTTCTTCGACGATATTTACTCGAGAGCCTGGACATGGCGACCGGCAGACCACGCTTCGACAGCGAACTGTTGAAGGCAGCAATGTTCAAGAAACAAGCCAAGATTACTATATCGCAACTGAAAAAGCATGCCACCTTCCCAAGAGCGAAAACCGCACCTACACACAGAGTGAAATAGAGAGCAACGCCTACGCTACATCAGACGTGGTCGTTGCTCTTCCTTTGTGCCCGGACTTTACGCCGATCATCGAGGTACAAGACGTCTATGCCTTCCTCCCCATTCGGAAAATGGGATTCTATGTGAGTGAATCATGGTTGGTCTGTGCAAGCAGTGAATGTTAACATGAATTAGTTCTTGATCCAAGCCGACTTTGTCACGGATGCGAGTCGTCAGGATATTGTTCGTTCATCTGCTCGCAATGCCGCTCTAATACCCTTCATTGCAAGCGCCTTTGTCCAGGCATTATCTAAACTAAGTATTGCCCAGCATTCATCCATTCGCTACACATGGATGCGATTCTTGCCAGAGATTGCAAAGATGTCTCAAGATCGCTTCTGGGGCAAGTTGGTAAACAATATTTTCTTCTTCCTTCTTGGAGAAGCAATGTTGTGGACCAGAACACATAGCCGAACACGCGGGATCTCATTCATGCTGCGGACCGGATCACGCTATCTCGACAGGAGTTGGGAGTGTTTACTTCCCGACCTACAGGATGAACAATATCTCGCCCCCGAATATAAAGCCCGGGATCTGGATCTCTTGAAAGGCTATGGCCTTTGCTGGATGGAGTTCTCCGACTTTCTTGTGAGGCTTGAACAAGACCTGGATCAAGGCTCTGGATCTAGAATGCACGCCCCCGACACATCTGATGATTGGCATACTCGTGTCGCGGACATCTTAATTGAAGCCTGTCCCAAGTGGTCTACCAGAATTAGAAGGCTTAAGATCATTCCGCTCGTGGGTGGAGCTTGGACCTCCATATCAGCCTCGAACTCTAGTATATATTTTTCCTTCATCGCGAGATATAAGATTCCATCCACAACAGGCGTATGCCTAGTAGAGCCGTCAGCAGAACTCAACCCAAGGCGAAAGGCGCTCTTCCGCCTCATGGGGGTTAAAGAGGCTGAGGTGCCTGATGTGCGTCGTTGGGTACTTAATTCTCTTAACAAAAATATTCCAGATCTAGGGACTTCTCGAAAACACCTAGCTTTCCTCTACCAGACCGCTCACCTTGACCCAGACACGGATCGATATGCATATTACAAGAATTCATCCGTCTGCGATCATCGAGGCTATTGGCGATCAATACAGGCAAGCAGGTTGTACTTCCCCAGCCATGACGAGTACGGGGCCCAGCAGCTACTACAGCCTGAGTCCGATTACTCCGGACATAGTTACATCCTCCACCCAGAATACATCAACAAAAACACTCCAGAGACGCCTGAAGGGGAAAGTCGCACCTGGCAAAAATGGCTACAACAAGTGCTCAACATCCGCGATGAGATCCCCTTGGTTGAGGACGGCAGCCTCAGTATAGAATGCGCGCACGTTGGCAAAGCCCTGCCAGCGAAATTTCTTGGTTTTCTATTACGTTACTGGCTCAGTGGAGGAGACAAAGTTCTGGCCGATCCAGCTTTGGTCAAAAAGCTCTTGACAGTCAAGGTCCCCTGTGAGGATGGCAGGGAGCACCCCATTGGTGAAACATACGTTTGCACCGAACATCTAGAGTATGCGAAGCAATTTCTCCATGATGGTGAGTTTTTCCCGTGGCTGGATTCCTCCGTCGTGGCAGAGAATCAAACACGCCTTTCAGACATATCTATTGTCTCCAAGGCCCTAGGGTTCGGGTATCCCAAGTCAGACATTGAGTTCATCTTCGTCGTCCTGCGTTATATCAAAGAAGCAAACCCAGGCCCTTCTCCGCTTCAGGATATAGGACGAGTCATTGATCTCTATGATCGGCTATACACGAGATGGCGGGAGTCCGCAACTCCGGATATCACACGGAAAATGATCCGGTACGATGGTGTAACCTCAATCTTTCTAGGCAATGACGAGGCTAACGTCAATTGCAGAGACGCGTTTGATAAGTATCGCCTCGTTTATATTCCGCGTCCGGCCAACAACCCTAAGCACTATGTAAGGTGGGATGCCCCGAAATGTTGCATATGGGAATCCCCAGAGCATATTTGGAACGTCCACCCTCTTCAGAAACTCTATGGCGACATTCCCGATACCGACTTCGTCGCTCGACTTTTTAAAGATATCCTATGGATTCGCAATGTTGATGCGATGGACGTCTTAGAGGAGCTGGTGCTGTATAGCCAGGAGAACATAATGGAGGAAGATGGCGAAATTTGCAGCCTATACCATACATTAACTAGGCTATTGCCGCAGAAGACCTCAGAAGACGTTGAATATATCCGGTAGGCTCTTTGAACGTTCCGCCACAATACAAGAAATACGTGGCTGATGAAGGACCTGCAGGGAATCATTTTATAAATATAGCCTTATCTACCACCAGAACGAGGATGGCTCATCGGGTTGGTACAAGCCTTCGCAATGTCTATGGTCAAAAGCCACAAACATCGACGGGATGGTAGCCTTGAACGACGAATACGAAGGTCTGGAGGAGTTCTTTGTTGACATAATTGGCGTACAAACCTTAACGCTTGAGATGGTGATTACGAAATTAGTCGACCAGGGAAGCACGTCTGCGTCTATTGAGGAAGTCAAGGAGACTATTTGGCTGCTAAACAAGCATCTCCAAACAGACGAAGAAGTGCCAGATAGTCAGTCGATCCGGGATGCGAAAGTGTTTCCCGTGCGGGATCTCAATGGCCAGATCCTACTCCGCAGCTGCGACGAAGCATTCTCAATAGCGGATCGTAAACACCTGTACGACTACTTTGCTGGAAAGGCCCACTTTCTCGACTTTAGTGTCAATGACATACATCGACTGGCGCCCTTTTTGAACTGGGCTGGACTTGAGCGACGTTATTTGTCCGTTTCTGTCAAAGAGATTTCTAGGTTGAGCAATGGTGCCCATCAATCTCTGGTGTCAAAAGATCGAAATATAGCTCTCAGAGCGTATGGCTTGCTGCGGTACGTTAATTCATCAAACATGAAGGAACAAGCTAATGGCAGAAAACAGCATCGCTGCACATTACAATAGCCCCAGAATGCTAAAGAGTGAGGATACCTTTTATGAGCTTCTTAGAAAAATCAAGGTCTGTGCCACGGACGGGATTAGCTCTGAATTGCATCTAAACCAGGACGGAAAAGATATCTTGGTGGAAGTGTCGAGAAGTGAATTACATCTGCATGAAGCTGATACTGACCTGACAATATACGTGCCACGAGATGAAAAGGCACAATGTCTATGCTTTGTGGACCGAATTCCAAAAGCTCTTCTAGAATGGATCATGACAGAGCCGACCACAAGAATATGCGCGCCTTTTCCTGACAGAGCGTTGGACGTGATGGAGAAGGTGTTACAAGTGCCACTTCCCTATGTCGCCGCTACCCTTGATCGAGCGGGGGTTGTGAGTATTGAGACCGAAGAGGTTGCTGAAGAGGACGATACCGACCTGACAACCAGTAACGACGACCGTCAGGCGGAAGAGGTCAGTGGCGACGCAGCATCTGGCTATAGCAACCAATTCGGCACAGAATCAAATACACCCAGTACAACCTTTCCTACGCCATCAGTCGTGTCGGGTGAAATCGGAGGAGAAACTATGCCATCGCCAAGGACCAGGCCTAATTTCTGGAGCTTTCCACCCTCCTCTCTGCTGACGACCCCCAGGCCCGCATATAATGCTGCGCCCGTAGATATAGAATATCGGTCCATCTTAGACAAGGTTGTCTCAGCTGCGCGCCAGTTTATCTTTCCCACTCGGGACTCTATCGATACATCACTCCTCGGTGAGTTCCAGAACCTGCATCTCCGCGAACAAGGCGACAATACCGGCCACCTTCGTTCGCTAGAGAAGCTCGAGCGAGACAAACGAATAGGTGCGGCAGGTGAACTATTTGTGAGTATCAGCATGAAAGCCTCAGACATAACGATGTAAACAAGAAGATAGACTAATTCATCCGCAGGTATTCGAAGTCCTATCCCGTCTCAGCCCAAATCTACCAGGATTCTCCAGAGAAAACTGGCAGAGCACCATCCGCCAGTACATTCAACTTCACGAGGACTACATCGACTTGCAACCATGGTGTGGGCGTGAGACAGCCGACCTTGTATATACTGACAGCGAAGGTATCATGACCTCCTTCCTAATAGCAAAAGGCTACTTAAGTTCCGAATTATGGGCGGGGAAGCGACCTCGTTTTTACCTGGAAGTCAAATCAACTACCTCCTCCTGCGAAACGCCCTTTTACATGAGCAAGTACCAATACGAGCGGGTACGTATAGCATGTAGAGGGGGAAAGTATATGCTGCTAACTTAAAACAGATGCAATCGTCTTCTGAAGACGCATCAGGGACCGGGGGGTCAGAGAGGATCTATATCATATTTCGCGTTTTCAATATAGGGACAAACTCTGTGGCAATGAAGGTATTCGTTGATCCTGAGAGTATGAGGAGGAGCCGGCATTTGCTTTTCACTGCGGAGACTTGGTCGATTGTTCCGGGTTCGGGCGAAGCACACTTGAACAACGGCGATCAGCCCTAACTAGATATAGGGAAATGGCCACGTTGTGTATTTATACCGATCTTGAGGCCTCGCAGTGTGTACCTAACGTATTTCTTTGCAAATCTCCACCAAGAACATAGCTGTCAAACTCGACCATATAGTTATGCCATTTTACGGAAACAGAGTTTTAGAAGAATTTTTTTTTGAGATTTATACTAGGAGTATAAGTTGGAAGGATACTCGCCAGTTTGACCTTTGATCTGGAGTTCTGATAGCCTGATACATCGTATCAGAGGCTGAACACACTTAATACCCCATTTACTCCAGTGCAATGTCCCAAGTTCCGGTAAAGTCGGTCAGTTTTGGACATGGGTTACAATTGCTAATAATTGAAGGAGCCTGGGTTTGAGAACGAGCTTCGAGCTATCTGCAGTATGGCAAATAAGCGCCTAGAATGGGAAGAGAAATCAAAGAGACGTCTCGATAAATTGGAGCTAAGGCTAAAGGAAAGCCAGGTTACCTACAACCAAACGCAGGACCATTGCACATATCTAGGAGGAATTATCGCAGAGTTAGAAAGAACAATGCTGCAACCGGTAAGAGTGTCTGTCCCGCCTTAGGCCGCACCGGCTGGCACCTGTCGCATAAGGCGTACCTGACGCGGGATATTTCCTTTCTTTCGCGGCTAATACAAGATTGTAGAATTTTGATAAGCAGTTGATGGAGCTGGTGTAGCTCACGTGTATGGGATTTGATATGAATCTATACGGGACACGTAATCGCTATAGCGGCTTGGCCGGATCAGCAACTCCTCAACCCCTGAAGGCTTTACCCATTAGTAGGAAGAAGAAGCGCTCAAGATAGTTGAGATAGTCGTCCATAAAATTGAGTATCTATCCGAATGGCATCCGGTCCTCAGTAGGCTACGTACGTGTAGCTGATACAGCATCATTCTGCCCATCTTTCCCCTGAGATCACAACAGGATTGATTGTCTTAAGGTCTAAATCTACTCTACAGAGATATTCCTTGGTGTTGTGGTCAGGTCACGTGGCTGCTGCCTTAGGCTCCCATAGGCTCTGACAGCAGTTTTGATACTCTATGTTATATGGCCTAGATGTGACTACTAATAAGGACGTGAAGAAGGATATCTACTTCTCATTCTCGAAATTTATACATCTGGTGAACATGAAAGGCAAAGTGCAACAATATATTCGCACATTTGGCGTGCTCTATCCGACTGGAGATCTTAGTGGACGTCTCGCGTGGCAAAAAAAAAAAAAAAAGGGAAAAAAGGAAAAGAATAAGAAACGAAAACCAAAATCAGACGAGATATATATCATTGTATCTAAAAGTGTCCTTATTTCCTTCTAGCCATTAGGAGAATGCTTCGCGTTTCTATGTCTAGCTTAATATCCCGCCAATTACCCCCGGACGCGGTATACTCACGCCACTCTTCTTCAACCTCAACCATCTCTTGCATCAGGGTATCAACAATATCTCCGTTACCGCCCTTATTCACTGGTAGAGCCTGAGGGTGTGCCCTGCGCCATTCATGGACAGCACTCCACGTCCGCAGCAATCCCTCCAGTCTGTTAAGGGTTTGTGGTATATGCATGCGTATTCCTCCTCCCGTCCCTGATGCAGGAGCTTCAACAGTAGGCTCGTACTCTAACCTCCTTATATCTTCCCAATTAGAGAGATCCCGGCATTCTATTGGTCGCATCCAGTCGTCCCAAACCGCCTTTCCTGGCTGAGGCCAGTACGACGTCAGACACTGAGCAGAGAACCGTCTCAGCGCCTGATCAGCGTGAGGATGTCCAACCAAAACATATTGTCCCCAGTTCCAAAAAGCAACAGTGCCCCCAGGCCGAACTATTCGTACCATCTCCTTCCACAGCTGATCAGGATCAAACCAATGTGCTGCCTGACAGGATATGACCAAGTCAACTGTGCGCGGCGTGATTAGGGAGAGATCCTCTGCTTTGGATTGACAATATTGGATATTATCGAAGTCTGTCCGTGCCCTGGCTTCCTTTAACATGCCGTCAGAGGGATCAACTCCTAAAACTAAGCTGAAATGCCTGGCTAGCGCTCGAGCTGCAGCTCCGTGGCCGGAGCCCAGGTCAACGCATAATTCGTACGTGGCTTGGTGATAAGCCAAAATTGTGTCAAACACAGCTGTGGGGTGTGAAGGACGATGTTCAGCATATTTTGAAAAGTCATACTTTTCATCCCTTTATGAGCAATAAGAGTAGGTAAAGTGAAGAATAAGACTTAGATAACTACTTACAAGAAACTAGTCATTGAGTACGCGTGATTTGCGTATGATTTGGCAGGAAACTAAATTCAATGCGATTGCCTTGATGAATCTTTTTCCGATATATGAGCTGGTATGTGAGATTGTTAGGTGATTCTGATACAGCCTTTCCCTTATAATAGATTTCCTCGCAGTTGAGCCGCTACGTCACCTCGCCTCGAACCCATCGTCATGACTGCTGTTGATGCTATGTTGCTTTTCCTTCAATACCACCAGAGAGTAACAAGCTGTCGACACAACTTAAAAATAGCTTCTAGGCCTAGGACACCATATTCAGGATATGGAAGTAAACTGTCTGTATGTGAGTCAACTGATGGAAGTATGTGTCCATTACCCCGATACTATTAGATTATCTACTGATAAATTTGGTCGGGCTAATTGAAAGCTAGATGGAATCTACGTTTTACGGTAGTTTCATCCGTGATGTTGCATTCCTGGGAGTACCCAACCAAAGCAACGCGCTCTCTACAAACCTAATTTTAGCTGAAGGACGCCTTCCATAGTTTAATAGTATCCCAGCTCCGTATTTTAACGTTTAGCTGAATTCAACTCAAATTTGTGTTGTACTAAGTCCTATTCTGCTCAATCTATGAGTCATTCACTCACTGAGGTTGCATTGAGTTTCTGGACTTGTTAAGATTGAAATCGGCGTGAGGGCAGAAAATAGATTTTTGTTCCTATGAAGAAAATGAATTTTAGTAAAATCTATGCAACTAAATATCCTCGTTATTACTAGATTATTTGTATTGTTTGAATAAAATATAATTAAACTATTAAAACATGATTTACATAGTATTTGAGATAAAAAGACAACCAAGTACCTGTATGGGCTTTGTACTTAGTGAAACCCTCCTATAACTCATAATTTTATGGAACAAGAGAAGCACTTACCCTAGTCACAGACTCACAGTGACCTCCCAGCATCATGCGCTCCGGAGAAGAATATTCGGCAACTCTCTCTGATAGTACTGCGCAACGTCAGCCGTATACTTCTGTTACAATATAGGGAGGCATACATCGCGATAAAGGCCCTGCAGCCGCATCTCCATAAAACACTTAAATGGCATTGTCACCTGCATGAAAAAATCATACACCATCCTCCCACCTGGGTCTGCAGACGGATTCAACGCTTTCCTTAATTCTTCACGAACAATGGGCCAACCTCCATTTGATTCTAGGCCCAACATGTACAACAGATGGCCAACGTGTACCTGGAGAAGAGCATGGTGCACTTTATGCCACACGGCATGCAAATCATCAGTAATAGTACTAGCACCCGCAGGGATCGCACCGAGATCACGGCCAGAACGACGAAAAGTAGGATGATGAACCCTTATTCCTCCAAAATCTCGAACAGCGAACCCAACTACCTCTTTTGCCTTGATGTCGATACGGACAAGAGTATTTTGGCTATGGCTTTCAAAACCAATTCCATAGCGGGCTAATGGGGGCAGAAACAGGGAGAACAGCTGAGCAAGGTACCTGTTTTGTAATAACCATCAAATTAGATCATAGAGGAAGATGTTATTGCGTGATACAGGGGGTAGAGGGAGTTCACCTTCTAAACCAGGTTTGCCTTTTCGGCAAGTCATCCAGCCCGAACATGATCTCCATGTATGTTCGGTCATCTTGGAGAGGTTTCTGGTATAGTCCGGTAACTGGGATAAGCGCCTGTCCAAGATTCTCTGCTTGCTGCTCCAAGCTTTGTCGTATAATGCATGTTAGATGACGCGCTTTAGCGAAGTCATCCTGGCCACCTGTGATAGACGCTACTTCTTCAAATACCCACAAATTAGGTGGAAGTAAGCCCTCCAACGCCTTACTGAGTACAGGGCCTAGAGCCGCACTCCAGGGAGTAATAGTTCTCGGACCCGATGTAATTTGACAATTCAACGAGAGCTTTAGATGAAAAGGAAAGTCCACTTCAGGTGCGAAAGATAGAGTACGTATTGAGACTAGTGCTTGGCAGCAGTTTTGCACGGCTCGAAGCTGGCGCGCGTCGGGGAACAGTGGCATAATATTTGGGAGCTGGCGAGAGAAACACGGTACGACGATTAAGTCCGGTGATTCAGGCTTGGCAACACGAAGAGATTTTAGAAGAGGCTCCAGCAGCTTCTCAAAGGGTCCAAATGCCTTCATCTGCGACCTTGTCACGGAGAGGAACGATAGTTCAGGTCGCAGTAGCTCTGGGATATCATCAGGCATCACGGCCTTCAGCGGTGATTGGGCAAGACATGTTCGGTGTAACTTATTTGGGTTAATTTCCAGATTGTTGCTATTCAAGACGAATGTAAAGCCGTACCGGATGTGTAGGATGTCCAAACACAACTGATCGCTCCCAATCGGTCAGTGAAGACTTGAGATGCAGCGTTGGTAGCGTAGTTGCGATTTCCAGCCATTTCCCTTCCTCAACTCAGTTTTAGGCTTGACAGGAAAGGGGCTAATGCCTCACCTTGATTATCCGCGGAATTCTGTACTTCTTTCATGAGGGACTCTACTGCGCCGCTCGAATACTGTTGAGGTCCCCAGAGACAAATGATGCGACAAATCACACCCGGATCCAGCTCCTCAGATACCCCGCCTTCGATGCACCGGATAAGCACAGGAGCGAGCAGGTCATCTGCCCGGATGAATCCAATAACCTTACCACCATCCGTTTCGACGTAGGAATCCGCTCGGATACCACATTTGATCCAAGTGTCGCCATAGTTGGTCGTGGCTTGATTACGCAAACATAATGACAGGCTTACACTTGCAGATTCCTCGATCGTTGCTCTGGCTAATCCATCATTCACAGCGCTGGCAAGAACCCGTTTAGTTGTCTCGAAGAGCGCTCGTTGTCTATTGGATACTATAGATGTGGCCAGGGCTGGTGGCATGTTGATTGGTTAAAAGGGCTGCTGGCCTATAAAGTTGGGTGTAGGTAGCTTTTACCAATGGACTTGTCCAGGTAGGCTCGCTCATCTATTTAAATTGGACAGAAACTCAATACAACATCAGTGACTGCTTGAATACGTATGTATACCGAGTGGAGCCGGGCTTGATGCAACATAAGTTTAGGAGTGGGAGGGCCATAAACTTTAAGGTTATACTCAACTTGTAAACGTGGGCTATATGACGCAATCTTTTATACGGGAATTTCATGTCTTCTCGTAGGTTAGATCTAGGAGCTCTAGAGCTGGAATTAAACCTAGGTTGTGTTTGAGAGTTCCTGCCTGCTCCAATATTTCATACTTAGGGGTGGTTGTATATCGTAGCCGATAATTTGAAAATCTGCGCTGTCGCCAAGGATCTGGGGATCTACTGGGAGCACGATCGGACTGGTATCTGTCATAACCGGAGAACTCGAAATGCTAGAGGCGTCATTTGGCCCTGGAGTTTCAAGGTGAGAATAAGACGAAGTAGTTCCATGTGGCTGCCCTTCTGACTCGTCAAGCATACAGTGCAACTCCTGCATAGAGCCTTGACCAGGTTCATTGAAGCTAAGTTCATGCACACCAGAACTGCCAGAATCTAACAACCGTTTTGATGTAGAACCAGTGTCCAGCTCAATACGAAGTTTCCAGTACACAAACTGAGGAGCCTGCGGTTTGTTCGGGAAATTGGAGGTCAAAGAAAATCCATTTACCACAACCAAGAGATCCAAGTTATACTTCGTTTCCAAACCTCTCGCTACACTGTACCACATATTTAAGGAGTCATGATATGATACTTGGCGTACGCAAAAGCGTCCGATATTAACAGAGGAAGTAGCTAAGCTATCGTATAGATGGGCTTTAAATACAAAGTCTGTACAGACAGCGATTGGGATAAAATTATATGGTCGGACAAGTGCTCGGTTGAACTTGGATCTGGCCAGCTCAACAAATATGTGTTTCGCCTCAACCTACACAGGGAAAAGTGGAAAAAGAATATCTTCAACCGTATAAAAAGGGTAAATCGGGTAATGGTCCCGTTAGCTACTTGGGTAAAAATAGCAGTGATCTTGTGCGTTTGGAGCGTGATTTTGAAGCCAAAAAGCAGGGGTATGCCGCAATGAGAATCTACAACACTACCAAATCCTAGCCAAATACATGCTTGAGGCACAGCTCTGAACAATGGCTTATCACCAGGTTATTCATATCCTTTACAGATGCAGTTCGCATCATAACGGATCGTCGGCCCTTCTGTAAGCTTAGAAGGGGAGACAAGAACGTCATTTCTATCACTTAAAAATCATGCCAATGTTAATGCCACTTCTGATGATGGAGCCTTTTAAGTATTGCTGCAAAATAGGCAACCAAGAGATGATTCAGATACTTCTTGACAATTTGTTGGCTTAGATGACTGTTGGAGAGCACTGCCGTTATACGCCATATATACCCTGACAAGGTGGCCAGCAGCAAGTGCGGAGCACAAGTTCAACTCCCCTGCCAGAGTGGCCGCAGCGACAATACGTGCGAACTGACGAGCATTATCACCAGGGCTGGTCGGGTGAGGACCACGCACACCGAGTTTATCGAGATTAGCAGACTGTCCTTCAAGAATTGTGCCACCGCCAATAGTCCCAACTTCGACTGAAGGCATAGATACAGATATATGAAGGTCACCGAAATGACTAAAAAATGTCTGTTAACACACTATTTCCTAAAGGAAACACGGAGGCAAAAAGGCGACCGGGGAATTTATGGTCGGGTTGTAAATCAACGGTGTCACTTGGCCTGCAACAGTGATAGCTTGAACGGTTACTGCTCGAATGTGATATCACTGTCAAGGACAACTTGACCATAGGCACCTCATCTGTGCTAACGGCTGCTGCATCTGCTCAAACAGCAATAAGACAAGTACTATTGTCGGTAAAGGAACAACATCTCAACTCTGGAATGAGGTGTCGCGTGAAGCAGTTATTTAACTGTATACTTTCTCGAGCACAGGGTTCGGCAGTTCCTGTGTTCTCGGAGTAATTGACTTGGCCATGATCTACTTTCTACACGGGGCTGGGGAGATTCGCCACATGCTACTTATGGCTTGGGGAAGCGAGCCTATCAGCAAAATTCAGTATAACAAGGCATTCGGAAGTGAGTTCTCGAAATCCAAGAATGAGATTTGTTCCCTAGGTGTCTTGCATCAGGATCTCCAGCTGGACAATATTCTGTGGAACACTGAGCTAGGGCGGGCCCTGATCATTGACTTCTATAGTTCTGAATTGGATCGTTGACTCCTGAACCAGAGAAGCCTTTGTGTAAAGTAGAGACGCGCGAGTGAAAGTGTCTCCGTGTAGTTTATAAATAAGAGCAATAGATAATATAGTGTAGGTTTCGCTTGTGAACATTCTGTAGCGGATTCATCTAGTACTAATGTAGTGAGTAGTCTATACGGGTGTGAATAGACTTGTTACGCCCGCGAGTTGGGCCGGGTTTTTGAGGTTGTTCAACCCAGCCCGTTGGGTTTAGGCCGGGTTAAGATGATATACAAACCATCCACGGGTCAAGATATATATATGTGAACCACCTGCGGGAGCCCACAGCTATAGATCCCTTCCTACTGTAGTAATGATTTACATTCTTTATATGATACAGTAATTTATTTATATTACTATAGGTAAATAATATATTTACAGTATTTTTGTCTTGGCAACCCGCAGGCTAACCCGTTGATCGGTGGGCCACCCAGGGAAGTAACCCGGCCCATGCCGGGTTTCGTGGGCTGGGCCTAACAAGTCTAGGTTTCTCCTTTATAAAGTATCAGTCTTCAGATTTGTTTCAGGACAACATCCACCTGTGATGATTAGTTATTTATGCAAGGAATAGAGAGTAAATATATTTATATCTTCTATCTTTCAATGGCCAGGTTATATCTTTGATTAGTAGCTGAAGCCTGTTACTTATAATAAATCCTGTTTTCTTTATTTCTCTGCTCTTTTTAATACTCTTCAGTGAAGCTGCGTAACTCACTGAGCTTGTGAAGCTTCTCTAACTTTTGTTATTATTACTCTACTTTAGATAAATCTGACATGATATTATGTGATATTGGTAGATATAGATAATAGTACCAGGGCAAAGTAATGAAAAGATTTAAAGAGAGAAGAAATTTTTTGACGAAGTGCAAATGATATCCTCCCTATTTATTTTATATAATAGAGATACTAGGATAGCTTAATGTGCGATTGAGCCTGTACTAAATCATCTAGCTCACCCAGCTCACCCAGCTCACCCTACAACTTAGCGTCGCTCACCCGTAAAGCAGTGAGCCCCAGAGGGCACCCCTGTCCTTTGACTGAGCTTACTCAGTTGGCTTAAACGCGGCCAGAAGTCGGGTGGCTGCCGCCCGGGGAGCTAGCAGGTGAGCTGCTTTACTGTCACACAACCTTGGGTGAGCTTGGGTGAGTGCATAATAGATGGGGTAAGCCACTCACCCCAGGCTTATCAAGGCCACTTGACTTGCTCACTGGGCCCTGAGGGAAGACCAAGGTACAAGCGGCAAGGCGCGGCGGTGATAGGCAGCAGTTCCCGATCAGGAAACATGGGAGGTGTGTTTGGAAACTAAAGCATATGAGGGCCGGGAAAACGCCAATCCAGAACAGCTGGGCCTAAATGGAAATTCCACTACTAATAAGATTCATTCTCATACAGTCTAGACCGAGGTTTGTCCGGTTTTGGGCTAGTTGGGGTATCCGCCTATCCGCCTACTGTACTATCACCCTGTCATTCCTTCGCGATAGACAAACACCAAGAAATATTATTTTGATCTTTCTTTTTCCCCTTTCATATTAGCTTCCTCACACCTATTCTTTGTGAAGACGGTTCAACAATAACGCTATATACGCCGAGGGAGCCGAAATTGGCCTTTTTCCGGAAGTAACCGCTTCCTGGTGGTCGCCCTTTTTCACAAAGAGCTGACTCCTTTATCTCCTTCCCCTATCTCCCTCCATCACTTATCTTCAAACCGCTCTCTCAGCACCAGGGATAGTCCTCTCTTGGTATTCTGATCCTTGCGGTATATCTATGTTGTAATTCAAAGGAAGATTAATTGTTCTTGATTACTTCCGTAAACCAGAGGGTTTATATACAAGATGAACATCAAGATTGATTCTACATGGAATTATTCCGTATCTGAAGCTCTATACTTTACCTGGTCGAGCCTCAGGTTACAGCAATCTATCTCCTTATCAAGGCTCTGTTCCTCACCTTGAATCATGGCTCGTCACTCTCGGCGTGACTACGCTGGCCGTAACAGCGGCGGGGAAGAGACAGCGAGCAGCGTATCTTTCCGTTTGGACTTGGTCGCCGTATGTTTGTTGACGATGTGGTTCCGTTGCAGGAGACCTCTCTCCACTTGATGAAGAATCTGCTCAGGATTGAAAAGAACTAATCCAGTTGCCAAAAAGCGCTATAGATATTGCTGCTAGTAAAGGCCAGCGTGCGGGCCTTAGGATAGTCTGATTAAAAATTATCTTTATCAATATGATTGAATCCACAGCGCATTTTAAATTTAACTGGTTTTCCGTACACCCTTCTTAGAGGTGAAAAGCAGATAATATCAAGCGGCCGAAATTTATAAGAAGCGTGAGCAGGCATGTAGATTGGTACAATATCAATCAATCTCTGAGCAAATCTGATCAAATTGAGGCGTAAGATGACTATCATGGCTATTGAGAATAAATATGCGATATTGCCACACAGACCGGCCTGTAGTAGTCGGCAACGTGTCTATACTTAGTCAGTCAATCCATAACTTTCGGTCTTCCTCGAGTCTCATTTACTCCATAGAATAGGATATTTTTCCAATGATGTATGGACGCCATGCCAGGCTACAACTTTGGAATGGCTGCTCTCTGAGGACCAGAAGTGACTTTGTTAAATCGACTCTTAGCTTCTCCCCGTTGACCCCCTTCTCTTACCTAAGAACCAAGTGCCATTACTTCCTGATCTCCCCTTGAAATCGATAGAGATACCCTAGCATATTTAGGTAGATCAATGCTTGGCCACTTCTAAACAGAAAGAATTCTGCCGCACTCTCCGTGTAAGGCTTTCAGGAAATGTCCGATGCGCGTGGCAACAAAGTGAATTTCAGATGTTCCCAGCGAGTCGCGTCCCCGATAAGTGGTATTCTTCTGCTGCAACTCAGCTTTATCCGACCCCTGTCCAGATCAATACTAGTGCCATGCACACGGGCAAACTCAGGAATAGTCTCAGGTCCCTGGATTGAATCCTCGAAACATTTCCCTTCATCAAATCTAGGATTGTACAGAACCCGTGCTGTGGCTTCTTCACAGATGATAACACGTTCGGCCACAAGTGCCATTAGTTCGCCATCCCAGGCGCCTTCCCTACCACTGCGCCTTAGCAGGCTGAGCGAATGTACTCTTGTACGGTGATCCCGACACTTCAAAGCAGTGAAATAAAGAGGAAATATTACACACATATCGAGTTGAAATAGTGAGCAATCAAAGCTTTTACGCTCCCAACCTGAGCAGTTGGAAGGACACCCCTTCAGAAACCTCCGGGCGAGTATCTCTTCTGCCAGGGTGACAATCTTTGTAAATTTTACAAAGAAGAGGTCATACGTTGCTTCCTCTTGTTCCAGCGATGTAGAAAGCATGATAAATGTTGTAAGGAACGATAGTAAAAGGGTCGAGTTGGTCTCAATTCGGTGGCAATCGGAAGCAAAATGACGTGAGCTAGACAAGTTAGAGGGACTGATTTCTTTGATGAAAGCCTCAAAGCTAGATTCCCATTCCTGAAGATCCCCTAGGAGGTTATTTCGCTCATCAATTGCAGAGTTGAGCCCGCAGAGATCGGATTGAAAATCTTCTATCGGTGACATTGGTTTTGGCTTGTAGTACTTCCATTTCGTCGCCACGTGGCGGATAAATTGGAACACACGGACCTCTATTGCGCATAAAGAATCCCGTGCCTCCATCAGTGAAGAACAAGGAGAATTCGTGGGTCGATACGGTCTTGATAAAACCAAGCGTGGGATTCTGGCTCCTACAAAAGCCGCTGCTTGTAATTCCAGCTCGAGAAAGGCTCTTTCAATCGAGTCCATAGCGGTCAACACAGTATCTGCGGAACTGAGAGACCCTAACGTGAAGTTTCTTGAACGTACTGCCGGTAAAGAACAGAGGTATATTGCACCATCCAGATGTGTCAAAGCTGAAGTTCCACAGCCACGAAGTAACTCATATGAGACGAGAAGGAGGCAAGTCATCAGTATTTCTGAAAGTGTCTCACGGAAGTTCGCTTGGTTGTCCAATATCCGAATGATTCTCTTGATGGCTTTTCCATATTGCTGACTTGAGTACTGGGAAACTTTGTCCTTCGCGAGGTAAGAATACGAAATACCCTTCTTATTGACCAGAATATCATATTGAGAGCTAAGTGCCAGCATGGCATAGCGGACAGCCGGCAAGGAATCGCTCAGCAGGGGAATAGTTTGCGTCCAAATTTCACGGTGTAAAGGACTGGAAACCTGAAAGGCGACGTACTGGCGGAAGTTTAGAGCGTGGCGACGGTCAGGCGCGGTATGTGGGTTCATCTCCAAGTAGACAGAAGGTCTTTCCCTGTCGTTGAACGATTGTTGTCGAAAAGGATCAAGATATCCGTCGCACTTCCGACCGGACGAAATACACCTTGTACATTGTGGTTTTCCCTCGTCGCACTTGACATGCCTCTCTCTGGTTAACGCATCGTATTAGAATGGCTTAATCACTGCACTACTTTTTTATTTTGATGGGGAAACCACTGACTTGCATGTTAGGCAGCCACTTTTAACTTTCGGTTTGCTCGCCCTAGTCCTTCGGGGGAGAATTTCAGTCATCTTAAGAATCAGTGACTACATGGGCATGGAATTGTCGCGAAGTCTCAGAGGCTAAAGGCCGAAAAGTCAACCTTTTCATTGCCTGTGGGTACCAAAGCTAAATCTGGAAACATAGTTACAGTACCATAATGCAGGGGTCACACTTCTGTTGGTACCGGGATATCTATGTTCCGTACCGGTATCTGCCTCGCCCAGCTATCTCATCCGCTAGATCGACTACCCGTATTAGGTACCTATACCAACAAGTTGCACAACAAAAAACCTCTGCGCAGGAACTTGGTGATTCTTGACACGTCAAATAGATGGATGCAGTGTGCTAATGGTTGAAATTGGATCTTATCTAGATCTTATCTATACATATCTCTATAAACTTGAAGCCGCCTAGACAATGCAGTTGCATAATGATCTGCTGTGAGGACCAGTCAAGTTCAAATGAAAAGTTCCAGACGATGAGCCTCAAACAGCACCCTTTTGTCCAATACAAGGACCTGAATAGACGTATCTTTATGATGGCAAGGCAGAAAAAGCAATAAAGGCGTCCGGGGTGACAGGTCCAATCTGTGTGTTGAAATACATAGTAACAACCCTGGTCCTCAATTCTGGTGAAAAGTAGTCATATCCAACAATGACGTTGCATGAATTCACAAAAATGGTGACAGGGACAGCTCCCTGGTACATGATATCCCACTGAAATGTTTATCGTAAGTAGGGAACGGAGACGAAATATCATTAGAGGCTTACAGAAGCAACTTTACCGCTGACAAAATCTCTTTCGACTAGCCCACCAAACACAGCCTTGTTTTGGACCAGTACGTCATTTGTCCAGAGAGGGAAGTTTTGATGAACATAACCATGGAAAACCTCCGGCTTGTTGAAGTCTTCAGTGAAAGAGACCATGGTATTGTCAACCAAGCCATTTTCGGAAACATTGCCGTAGTTAAAGAGAGAGGATGCCAGAGTGCCCTCGTGAGCTTGGTCAACACGGACTTTACCCTGTTCAGGGGAATTGTAGATATGACCAGTGGTAATATGGGACATGTTCGAGTTCCTATAAATTCTGGTTAGTCTCGTTTGTTCTATGATAAACCAATTGCAGGCGTGGCGAGAAAAAGGGCCGGTAGGAATGGAAGGGCACTCAGACCATTTATGTTGGATAAAGTTCGTGCCAAAGGCAGACTGTACCAACGGCGGAGCACTTTGCTCAAAGTGCGAAGAGAGAAGTTCCATGGAAGAGGGGAATGGAAGACACCGAGTACCATTTGGGGGCGCTACCGCCGCGGCCGCAGCCACAAAGGAACACAGAAGGGCTGCTGGGTAGTACATAGTAAAAAAGTAAGGACAGAAATCTTGTCAAAGAATGAATATAGAAAGAAATGAAAGAGCGTCGGAAACAATGATATTGGCAACAGTTATTGATTGAGAGGGAATCCATCGAATTTATAGATAAGTTAGTAACCAGCTATTGAAGGGGGTTGGTTCATCAAATGTGAATGTGCCGCTAAACCACTTTAGGGCCAGTTTACGAATAAGCTCAGTCTTAGCACTCAGCCACAAAATATGATAGATAATATATTCAAGGTTGGCTCCACTACACTAGACTATTAACAGCTTGGTTTACGATCACACTGGTTTGAGGGATGGGTAGACCATTTATTAGGTTTAGTGTGAGCATGACTGGTATGGTTTTTCCCCTTTTAGGGCTAAATTAAGTCACAGTCCTGGATGCGAAAAGTTAAAACTGGGCGCCTTCTCAGCGGGCCCTCTTGTGTTGTCACCGACATTGGTCAGGCTGACCCAGAGATGCCGATATTCAACATCGCCTTCAAGACTGAACTGAAGACATTTTGCTGCTTTTTCTATCACATGATCGTCTTTGTTGTGAATTGAGGCTCGACCAGATAAACTATAGAGCTTCAGATACGGAATAATTCCATCTAGAATCAATCTTGCTTAACTTGTATATAAACCCTCTGGTTTACGGAAGTAATCAAGAACATTTAATCTTCCTTTGAACTACAACAGTCTTCACTTGAAGCGACGCCCCTTCCTTCTTCAAGAACCCCAAATATTTCTCAGGAGCTTGCCAAAATGAAAATTCGATGCCAATTACCGTTCGCGAAACTAGTGCTTGTCAGCGACGGATTGTCGAATAACAGACGGCTCTAGGATTGGGAACGAATACAGCGGAGAGAAAGAACCAGGAAGAACCACTTTATTCCCCTGCTCCATATGAGGCTGTATCAAACGGTGTTAGGCGACGGCTATGGAACACCCAATCGATCTTGTACAGGTTCCAAGACATAAGTGTGCCCCATGCAGCGGTCTTAGATCGAAGCCTACTAAATCTGCTCAAACGATACACATTACCTACGAATCGTCTAGAAGTGAGCTTCTGATGTCCTATGATGTGAGCTCCTTTTTTGGTGCACCAGGCTATTGATAAACTGACCACCTAGAAGGACTTGAAGGTGATAGAACTAGCTTGTCGAAATGATACAGACCGGCACACCTTGTCCCCGACTCAAAAACCCGTGGTCTTATCACTTAACCTGACCTATACCTGCAGTGGTCTAGGCAGCCAATTCCGCCTGGGTAAGACTACCTTGGAAAATGAAGTTGAGAGGCCGCTCAAGCTTAGTGGCATTAATAGTAGCAGTAGCAGAGGCCTCTTTACGGGTAGCTATGCTTTTCTGGACCTTAAAAACATCTTTTTGCAGCTTTTTAATGTTGTTGACGGTGAGTTGATAGTAGAACTTGATGCTGGCGGCGTTTCCGGACGGGATTCCCCTAATACTGCTTACCTTTCACCCAATTCTGGTAGCTCATACTCTTTCCCCTGGTCATACACTACCAGATCTATCTCGGATGAACTGGTATTAATAAACCCCATCGATACCTGGGGTTTCAAGGTTACAGCCCTGGTCAAGGAATAATGTGATGCGCCCGTGCTTGTTGCGTCTCTTCCATTCCGCGCGAGCTGTGCGAGGGGAAGCAACGAAGCCCAGTTATCTTGCGTATGATTGCAGAAAGCTCGGAGATACTCTGCAGTCGTGGCATTCATTCGTTCAATTTGTCCATCGGTTTTGGGATGGAACACTGTTGATAATCGTCCCTGGATATCTAGCAGTCCGCAAAAGTGTTCGCAAACTTGGCTCAAGGCAAGTAACTGGGCAATGGTCTCTGGAATGGACAAGGAACTAGAATTACTCCCTTTCCCAGCCAATCGTCTATTACCATCACATCCTCACAACTATTGGAGTTTGGTAGTATAGTTATGAAGTCGATAGCTACCTCGCGCCATTTCTGGTCTGGGATTCGTAGAGTGCACAATAGATGGGGTGAGCAGCTGGCTGACACGCACCCGGGAACACGCGATCTCACGAAAAATTACCCAAAACCGAACCTTATTACCCACTTCCTCGAGGACAAGGATGGGTGCGATCGATGGCAGAGGTGGCCCTGAAACTGGTGCGCTTTCCCCGTCTGCCTGCTGATAAATGGATAATTCCTCCCATGAAACCCCCAGCAACCGAACAATATTCGGGTGATGAGAGAGTAGACTGTTGGAGAGGACTCTAAGCTCCAGAGACATGAGCTCTACCTTGCCTCGAAGCTCGCTTTATAGCGCGTTACTTCTGACTCCAATTGAGGCAGCGAGATGTTGATTCGTTTGATAGCAAGCGATGTATCGCCAAGGTGCCGGGGGCTGGATGCTTTATATACCACCATAAAACCACCAGAGCCAATTCGGTCCCCGATGACTATATCAGCTTGTGGGATAAGATGTATATCATGACTCTGCACGTAGCAGATGTATGACGTGTAACCGGGCAAAGCCCTTTCCCTCGCGATAAATTGGGAGGCCTCGCTCATAATCCTCGAGGCTCCAGGAAGACTGCTTCCAAAGGTTGACGACCAAGAATCCATGGCGATAAGGTGGAAATGAAGTATTGGACTGGCAGATGTGTACCACAGCAGGTTAGGAACAGAATGAAACCCGTCTTTCCAAGGTTGGTACTCATCAAACTGTGGTTAGGACAAGCAAGGCGACAAAGTGTTTTGGACACCAAAGGCTGAGACAGTCACATTGCCCAGATTCAGCCTCGCTTTACCAGAACCAATCATATATTTAAACCTGAATTTCTGGTCTGAACAAAAACAAACTGTGATTCTGTTTTATACCCTATGAATCCTCTTTCTTTTCTTCCTTAGCATTTAAGAACATTCCGATAGCACATCTCTTAGACTTCCATATACTCTCTATAAGTTACCATTACAGTATTCAAGACCCTGTGTTTACTATTTCTAGAATAGATAAGACAGTCACTAGTGATATCTCTAGACTTATTAGGCCCGCGGGTTAGGCCGGATTTTTGAGGTTGTCCAACCCAGCCCGTTGGGTTTGGGCCGGGTTAGGATGATATACAAATCACCCGCGGGTCAATATATATATATGTGAGCCACCCGCAGGGGCCCAAATCTGTAGATCACTTCCTTAAAGAGCTATAATCTATATTCTTGATAAAATACAGTATCATAATCCTGCCTTATACAATGACCAACCACAGGGACGTAACAACAAAATGAAGCAAACAAAAAAAATGGTGAAACTCCAAAATTACATTAATGGTGCCAGACATATATCAGCGAAAGGTATAAGGATCAGCATCATGAAGATAACTGGCTATACCTGGAGGTACTTTTGCAGCTGGCATCAACAAGAGCGCGGTGGTATTTTGATCAACAAGCAGGTGGAATATCCGGTGCGTATTTGTCACCGTAGTAGTTGGATCCTATATGTGCAACGGTCCCGTCAGTGGAATATGCACTGGAACAGAATTGGTAGGTCCCCGCTGGTTCATGGGCCACGTAATAAGCGGCACCAGAGACCGCTGATCGGAGTCCGGTCTCTGTCTTCGAGGACTATCCCTTGCGCGCAGACCAGGCAAAATCAATCTCCTCAATCTTGTATTTCGTAGCTTGGCTATCAAGCTGTGACGGTTTCTTATTGGGGCAATCGGCATCGCAGTCCATGGTGTCAAACCTAAGGGTACGGGCATGAACCCTTCCGCCGGGCAGCATTGGGACGGTCAGGTTCATCGGCTGATCGATGGCATGCACATGGTGCCAGTCATAAGTCAAGGCGGTGGTGTTGATGAAATTATGGATGACACCTTCATGGGTAGTATGGACGAAGGACACCGCATCTACGGCGTTTCTAGTGGGAATCAGGGCATCGGACAAGCCTGTGCCGCCATGCGCGTGAATGACAGCGTTAATACCAATCGCTAGAGCAGCTCCAATGCATCCAGTGGCCGCCTGGCTCGGCATGAAATAGGCACAAGCAAGCCAAACCACACCTCCGAGTGCACTGGAGGCGTTAACATACCATCGGAACGAGGCTGCATGAGCGGTACGGGCTATAAGAAAGCCTACAAGCGCTGTGATTGACGCTGTGAAGCTGAATGTTCTTGCTCCCATGGTGGCTGTGGTCGATATGGGTTAAGGAATTCGGCTAGACGTTGCAAGGCGAGCACCGCGATATAGAAGGCAATAGACTTAAGAAGATAGCCGAGAGACTGTTGGAGGTCATCATTTATCATGACGGAGATAGAATATTACTCTGATTTATATGCGCCAACGCCTGTGTATTTATTAGGCGATTGAGATGACTAAAAGAGGTTACATGTCATCACTCTCAAACACTCGCACTCCACTGGCCAAATGTGGGCTGGTGGTATACAAAGGATATTTTGATTATTACTGGGAGGTTGTGTACGTTGAGATTTGGAACGGAGATAAGTGCGGAAGCGGCTATCGGGAAGGCCTATCTTTCCAGGGATCGGAATGACTGACTCCATCTTAATCTCCAAGGCTCCGAATCAACACGCACAAGCGTTAGTACCTCTGCTAAGGCTTGGGGGAACTTGGTTATTTCGCATTGCCGCGAACCATCCTAAACCCCTTTGATATAACCAAACAAAGTTACTCCATCTATGGTGTACTTGCTCTGGTAAATTTGATACAGTGATAATGAGATGTTTTAGTGCTCATCAGTTTTAATATTTCTTTCTTGTCTACTCCGTGCTACAAAGGTATATCATATTGGTTTTGCTGACACATTGTATAGCTACAAAAGCTGGGAATCCCTTCAAGAAAATAATTAGGCGACAAAGGCGGCCCTTCTCTTAGAGTCTTAACTCCACTTAGACGGACGCAGATCCCAGGGCCATTGTAACCATAGGATGGAAGCACTGGCACACCTTCATGAGACATAGCATTTCTAAAATACCTCCTCAGGAATCATTAGGGACAAGGATACAGGGTGAATAGGCGGCTGGAAGATCCATGAGCTGACGTGGCCATACAGGGGAAGTATCAGCCTAATGTCTGTACTTAACGTCACATCACCTCAACGAGGCTAAAGCGGGCTTTACATCCTGTCTTATTATACTGATCTGCAGGGTGAATGTTGAGCGTGACGCTAAGCATTTAAACCCTGCATTCGGACATTGAATTCTGAACTAGTATTTGCACTGCCTCAGAAAAGGCTACCATGTATTCTGCCAGTATTCCAGCTCTTTCTTAGCACATATTGAAGTTTACGTTCACGCGGACCACATGAGTCATCCAACAAGACCTCTTCCTCGAAACTCCATATTCCTAGGCCAAATGAATCAATGGAACGAAGTGGAACAGACGTGGTGAGTCTGGTGCTTAGGACACTGTACTAGACACATTCACCCCAACTGTCCTGATTCCCTCAGACGGAGCAGCACGTTGTGCTCAATACCTCGGCCCTTCGCAGCAATGCAGTTCTCCACTCTAACCTCAGCAGTGAGTTCACCAGCGATGCTGTAGCTGAGATCTTGCCCGGTGAGGTAAATCGTAGCGGCAAGTTGTCTATTAGACTACCGCAGGATATATTTTTATTTTGAAAGCCTAAGGTGATACTTAAAAAATTTTTATAACTTCTCTATTTGGGGTGAAAAATTTGATGTTCCTAATTTGCACTTTTTGTCTGGTTGGGCGACGAACGAGCTTTCAGTATCTAAATCGAGACATACAGTGGAAGAACAAATTACCATGCAGCGATGGTTCCCTGACCAAAACCAGTAGGAAGGCGCACCTGCGTAGAATAATGTAGGCAATATATTGAGTGAAAATCGACAGGCTTGCCCATGGAAGCCGTAGACGGAATGGATACTATTGTGGAATCTCAGGGGGAATGGGTCGCAGGGATCTATCGTATCGGCTACAGGCTCATCGGGTGCCTAATTAGGAGGTAGATGTCATCGGCGGAAACGCCAGGTATCAATGTATCTCAACCAACTGAGCCTATTGCATTCCTAGCTATATCATTCTATAGCCCTCAGGGTGCTCATCCATCAAATGCTCAGGAGCTGAATAGCCCCAACTAGTATCCCCCCACGCCAAACCGGCTGTGGGATATAGTGTTTCCATAACATATACAATGGCTGTAGGCGGAGGTTTTATCAATGTAGCTGGAAAGATAGTTAAGGTTGAAAAATGATATGAATCTATATGTTGTGATCTCAGGGGAAAGATGTTAATTGCAGCTCGGAGAGCCGCAGGTAGTAGGGGAATAGCGTGTTACGGCGCCGCAGGTGGCAGGAGCAGGAGACTAGGTTTCCATTGAATGATCTACTACCATGTACAGAGGTTGATCACTGGTTTCTGAAGCTATTGGGGTGCGGTAAGGATTTTACCGCAGCGGGTAGCACGTGACCACACGTGCCACTATATCAACCGCAGGCGCTGTAAGGTACGCCTAACGCTTTCTCTTTCCTTCTCTATGTTTGATGTTTCGTTAGATCGCCACGTTAGATACGAATAATACATCTTTCCAAAGTGTATAGGATCATCACACCTACAACCCCCAATTCAATAGCAAGTAGTCTCCCATATCAAGGTGGATACAAACCCAACCAATCCAATCAAACAAACCAGCCAATCCCTTCCTGAATACCTTGGCGTAAAAACAATCTCAGCCTTGCCCCGCCTATTAGCCTAGGCCGACCCACATGGGCCTTTAAGATGGCTCATTCACCTCACAATACCCATTCCCCGCAAGACAAACAAAAATGGAAGCAATAGGATCAGCCTCGGCGATCCTGGCCATCGCAACGGCCGGTATACAATGTACCGTGAAGCTGGTTTCGTTCGCGGGCCAGGTCAAGACGGCGCCGGAGCGAATCACGCATATTGCTGAGGATGTGTCTCAGAATGCGAGTATTCTGCAGCAGCTGGGTGATTTGATGAGTGAGGATTTGGATGCGGAATCCATCGATGGGAGTGGGGATGGTGCTCAGGTCACATTGGCGTACAAGCAGAGTGACGAGAAAGCGAAGCAGGAGAGGCAGAGTGTGTTTAGTGAGGCTGGTCTTGAAACTACGACGAAGGTAGCTTCGAGATGTCATGAGATTTTCCAATCATTGAATAAGCTTCTTGAGGAAGCTGGGCGGATGGATTCCCGGTCTGGCAAGTTGAGATCGGTGCAGAAGTTGAAGTGGCCGTTTTTAAAGCCGGAGATAGATACCATGCGAGAGGAGTTAAAGGAGGCAAAGGGTACTTTGATGCTGATGCTGCAGTTGGCGTCGTTGGCCATGTCGCGGAAGATGATGGATAGGTATGTTTTTACCAATGCTTGAGTGAAGGTAGTGCTAAGGGTCCTGTCGCAGATATTCCCCCAAACTCGGACTGCTGCCGCATTCAGAGGTAGAACGGCAACTTCTTATCAACTCGATTGTAGCTCAGAAGGGCTCCGAAGATCACCAAGCATCGAATAAACAGCCCCTACATAGATGCATAAGCTGCGCCACAATGTCAATCGATGGAGAAGAGCAAGCCGGCCCGGAAGTAAACTTCGTAACAGCAAATCTATCGCCCCGAGGGCGAAGCATATCTGGTTCTCCAGTGAGGTAGGAATGCATGGATCTAATACTATGATTATCACTAAATTAACTCTCTATTATCTAGCCCGCCATCCCCGACACACGAGCACAGATGGGCAAGGAACTGTAACGTGTGTGACTATATTCCACTAATGTACGCATTGCCCAAGGCCATTACTCTCTATATAGGCTAATTAGACCCAGGTCCCAGGCACCTATAAACACCAACCCGCCTTTGAGTCTGTATATCATCAGACCGCACCCTTCCCTTATGGACCGCAAAGTCCACATCAATTGCACATATCACCAAGTCGCACTATCAGAGGAGGAAATCTCGTCACGCCTGAACGATTGGAGATCATCATCCAGCACTACCGTCCTCGATCAAGTTCTTTCTCTCACAGCTCAAGAGCTGGACACTCTGAACTCCTTAACCGAAAGGTGCTGGGACGGCATTGATAGAAAGGTCTCATGGATACATTTCGGCGAGTACCTTCCTGTAATCGATGGGTTTGATGAGGTTAAAGCACGAACCCTGACTGTCATCATCACTCAACACCCACCAAAGTTTGAACCGACTTCCAGAAATGCCGAGTCTGGATTCCGATGGGGGACGGGACGACCTCCACTCGCTAGAGACAGTTCGCCTCGTATGAGACCATATGATGCCCCCTACGACGCTGGAAGTTCCAATTCTATGCTGGGAATGGGTCTTCCACATGACCAACAGGGAGCAACCTTCCAGTCTGGTAAGACTGGAGGTGTTGTAGTCCAGGGAACGATAGAAGGCCCAGTGGATGATGTGGATGAGGTAGATGGCGAAGAGACTGAAAAGATCGTTCAAGATCTGCTGGCTAAATATACAAATGTCTGAGATCCGCTGAGACCCGGTGTTCAAAACAGATTTGACATCCACGGGCCTATGTCAAAGGCTTGGAATGAATGTCAATGGTGAGCCTATTATAACATGCATACAAGACGAATAGAATCACAATGTTGCTCTCCATCACCCCATTAATCATGTGTTATAATCTTGAACGTAAGAAGCCATAAAGCGCAGACAGGCGCATACAAGATACACTGACTCATTACTCATATAGACGATCTCTTTCAGCCCTTTGAGCCAGCCCAGACCCCGTAAGCGCAAGGTAGCCATTTGGTTCCCCCGCTCGCACATCGCCTAGTCTAACCGGCATGTCCTTGAGCAAATGCGACCTCTCTAAACCATCAAGCATCGAGCCTCCATGAGGAAAGGAAGAGTGTTCGTTATCCCTTGTCAATGTAGAAACGTATCCCAAGATATCCGGAATATTAGTGATATGCATGATGACCGCCGTGTACATGGCAGCCACTAGCATGACGACTGACGACACAACAAACACAGTCATCCAGCCCGGACTAACTACATATCGATATGGCTCCCACGTTACCAGTGTGCCGTTGGCGAAGCGGACGAAGGGGCCGGGATCGCGTTTCCTGTCACTCGCTGCGGACATATTCCCGGTTATTGCCATTGTAGAAATACTACCGAGATAGTACGTGTTGATGATCTGGGTGAGACGTTCAGAAAATTCCTGCTTTGGTAGCTTGAAAAGTGGATTGTCTTTGACGTCGGCGGCAAGTGGATTGGCTGGGTCGTTGATAAACCTCTCCGTCAATGTGTTTGTTCCGGCGTGTCCGGATCCAGCGACTACCAGGTTCTTGGCGAAGTTAGTTATGAGTGCCGGGAAGATAAATGGGGTGACGTCGCGGGCTGGGTGCGGACGGAGACTGTCTCGCATCGCTGCCACGGCGCATTGTAGTGTGGGGCTGCCGGTGCCGATGCATGTAATGAAGACTTCGACGTAGATCTGGTTGATGTGGCAGTATGCGAGGGTAGAATCGTATCGCTCGCTAGACCAGTATCTTGATTGAAAGGGAGGATAGGTTGGTCATTGAAATAGGACTCGTTATTGCCGGTGATATTTGGGAACAACTCAATAGAACCCCACGGATAGTTAGTGACGTATTGGTTTATGCCTAGACTCCAAGACGGTGAACATCGGTCGACTGAGCACCCTTCACTGCCATTGGTCCCTAGAAACGCTCCCTCGACTGTTTTATTGATTGTGGGAGGCTTGTCGTTTTGATTCATTGTAAGGTTGCCAGTACTGAGAAAGGGATTAAGCCCTCTTTGCGCTGCAGGTCATAGCAATCGATGTCAAGATAAGACGTCTCAATTTGAAACGTTGTGTTTGAACCCGCCTCCAAGCCCTGGAAAGGGACGCCCAGCAGAGATGTATATGTGAGGCTGGTGTGATTCTTCACGTCTCGCCAACCAGAGCTGTTAACAGGGCGGTCAAGTCCAGATATCGCCGGAATCTTCACGTTTCCCCATATATCCATGGTCGACTCCTTACTTGACTGCGGCGAAAGAAGAGAGGACAAATAGATGGCATTAAGCTGCGAAACGCCGGACTGTATATCGGAACCTGTGCTGAACTCAGACGGAAACTGGGAACTCAAGTACGTGACATTGACTGACGAAACGCGAGCATCCCGCTCAGTATCAATGATGTGTAGGGAGGACTGGCCACCAAGTGGCGACAGCGCCCATAGAACAATCAGTCCTAGACCCAGGAGGTTGAACGACTTCATAAAGATTTGGGTAGTAATTGCGCTTATAATGGTATTGCTCCAGAACAACTGCTCCAGAGACCCCAATGGTGCACCTCGCTCCAAGCGCCAGGTTGCAACTGCCCGTGTCATGCGACCGGTAACTGCGGCAAACAAAATTGGGAATGCAGTGACTGCCTACATTGACAGTTAGACATCTGTACTCATTCCAACCATATGTGCAATGCGTACGGCGCTCATGCCCCTTTGAATGCGTCTCCAGTCATCATCTTTAACCTCCTTATTGTGGCGATTAATGGCGATGCCAGCGAGGACAAGGAACGGGATCGAAGCAAGGACAGCGAACACATCGAAGGTTGCGCGGATGGTGTGCGACCCAATTGACCTCTTTAATGTGCGTGGCTGCGAAGGCCAGGCATTGATTAATGTTCGGTCTTCGACATCGCTACCTGAGATAGTGGTTGTCTTCATTGGGAATCAAGGGGCCAGGTGTCGGGTAAGAAGGAGCAACACCCCATGAACAATGGATAGGACAGACTTGGGAGAAGGATAGTCTCAGCCTGTGCACGGATATTGGTCCTATAAGGTGACCCTTAGATTACGCTGTGACTGGAAATGTTGGCCTGAAAAAGTCTCGTGTGTGCGAGCAGGACATATAACTGCCGATCACTAGGCCAGCCTTGCGGATGCAACGAGGCTGAGACATGGTCCGAGTACACGTCGATAACCTTTGATACGCTTTTTGGACCGAGGATCTACAATATCTGAGGACTGGTTCATTGCTATTCGTCCTGACGACATGCAAGGAGAACTAGAATGGCTCGGCGTTGGCGGCCTAATTTGCCGGTTCGTGACGGCGCAACCAATAGTGATCTATGTAATCCGGGCCGACTCTATGCAGGGTGACATTTGCAACATTGGATTAGTGGTGGTAAGAGGTCCACCCTGCCGATCAAATCTTGGTTCGGCAAATCGATGCTACGATGATGGGCGAACATCGCTTCTGTAAACAGAACGAGGAATTCTTCTATCGACACGGCGTGGATGACCGAATTTGATGCCGGTATAACCATAGCCTGGGCATGAGAAGGCGGCAGCACCAAAATAACAAGTAACAGTATTTATTCCTGGTTCTTGATATTAGTCTGGTACCACTTCTCTCCACCATCGCCGCACTACTCTGGAGCATAACCATGAGCCGCTGAGGAACATTGGTGGAAACCCCGATAGCTTTCGGTCCTACAGTGTCTGTGATTCGTACTGCAAGGAATTAGCGCTTGCACGATAGGCTAATACAGGTGATCCTTTTCTCATAGGGTCCGTGCAATGGTCAGAATGGATGCGATTGGTTCCAGACTGAACGGAGAGACGGCTGAGTAGTTAACCTATCATGCTCCTCCTTTATACGATGACCTGCAAGCTATCATTGGTTTGCTTGATACAACAGGCTCCTAGATGCTGTTCTGTACAATTAAACCCGGATGTATCCATTGAAATGCGTGTTTTCTCCACTGACACGCATTTGTGCGCTGTCTTTAGTCGGGCATATTGGAGTTATTGATGCCCCGGGAGTCTGGGTTCCATTGGCTAACGACTGGTTTAACCCGTCCGCTATGTTTGTATCACAGTTATGAAACCATGCTTACCATTGAGAATCTCGTAATTGTTGCATGGTTACCCTTGTATAAAAGCTTAAGCGTAACCGACTGCGGTAGGCTATAAGTATAGCGCGGGGCACCCTAGCCGTGTAAGGGTAAAGTGGATATGACAACAAGTCTGTTCCCTTTCCCGAATCCAAAACGCCATACACTTTAAGCCTTATCACCTGTTACCGTACCTACCCATTTCAATCTATGTAAAATGTGCGGTGCCGAATTACCCTCCGCCGCAAAGCCCTACACTCATGGGCACAATCAACGAAATAGCCCGACATGCAGAAACGGATACTATCCTCCCACTCGCCTACCACTCACTATTACATGCTATGCGGCTAAAGACAATAGCATGTGACCTCACTGTTCTTCACGATGGCAACTTCCAATTAATGCGCTGAGGAGGTGAGACGGACGGCGTTGCTTATACACCGTATTACGCTGAATCTAGGAGGCCTGTTCACTCGATTGTTTGCCTCGAATGCGCTATCAGGATAATCAAATCATTCTTTGTGATTTGGTGCGATGTGTTCCATACTCTGCTCTTTGCGTCCTAATTGTCACGGTGCTACTATGAAATACTGTTTGTTTCAATGATAGTAATGGTTCAAGGGACGTATAGTTAAACATACCCCTACCGAGTCCCAGTTTTTGTTTCCTTGATGAACCTTGCCGCTCTCTCATTATCATGACCCCTGCAGAGGTGATAATAGTCCAACAAGGATTCCAGCCCGTCGCTATGATCAGGCATATATTTCCGTAACAAGGCCTTCCACTCCCTGTCCTCACTATTGTGATGATCTTATACAAATTGGAAAGATGTATTTATTATTCGTATCTAACGTGGCGATCTAACGAAACAGCAGACGTAGAGAAGGAAAGAAAAAGAAAGAAAGAATTCAATTATACAGGAACGGTAGGATATCAATGTTGTGGGATCTTATCAATAGTGAATAAAGCATTTAATGCCTCAGGCAGAGTTCAACCTAAGGCCCTGACAACTATCAGTAATCAAGGTACAAGCATGTTCCCACCAGACCGGAAGATATGCAGACGTCTCCCAATCAATTATGCCAGTAAAGGAGCAATCCTGCACCATGATATTCAAGTTCGTAAGGTCACCATGCGTAAAGGTGAATGGGGTAGCGGGCAGCATGCGACGCCGAAGTCGTTGACGCACAGTCTCAGGTACACTCTCTTGTAGTCCACACTCCATCTCAGCCTTAAGTTTGTCATCGGTCGCTATAGGACCGTGATGTAAGATTTCCAACTGTGTTTTTAAACAGGAAGTTAGAATAACCTGGATAACCATCCAGCGCTTGAATTCTGTCTGACTGAAGCTCGCGAAGTTGTAGCAGGTAGTCAGCAGTCTGTTTTGCGATTGTCTCCCTTTGATCTGCCGACAGCTTCAGCCAGGCTGTGCTAAGGGGTTCGCTGGGGATGCGCTTGGTCAATAGAAGCGCGTGATCATCTTCCTGTAACGGAACTACTTATCAGGGTAGGACACCTGTCGATTAGGCAAGGAAATGCAATGGGAGAAACTTAGGCGCAACTAGTAGGTCCATTTAGTACGAGACTAAAGCTTGGAGGGAGGATATCCATCAAATTCCACCCCTCTACTCGACCACAAGTTCCGTGGCCTAGGTCACCATGATCGCTCTATACGTCAGATGGCCTTAAATGGCTTTGTTCCCGCTCAACATTCCCGGAGCCGAATAGCAGACAGTATGTGAAAGGGTAAGCAGGAAATTTCATTACACTTCCTTCCAGCATTCGACAACAGTAGGGACTGGGATAGATGTATTTGCCTGGACAAACCAAAGGTTTGGAGCTTCGAAAACTGGAAGGATCGCACCTTTTTCTCTGAGAACCAAATTTGAGCGCAATGACCAGATGCCCCGATCACTGACTGCATAGAATAGTCTAACATGGCTTCTGTAGCGACGACCCTCTTGGCGTTCAGTGGTCCAGCTACACGCTGAACAAGGTTCTGTGGGTGCCATACCATAGGGCAAATCATGACTAGACTTAGACACAATGCCACTCTTTTTTCATCTCAATAGCTCAAGACATATTAATATGCCTTTTACTAACCAGGATCTTGAATATAAGCCCTGAATCCTATTAAATAGCGATATGATTACTTGTTGAAGTTAACAACTTTTTATAGTCTTAATTTTCCTAGACATGAAATTGGCTAATTATGTTTTTGCAGATATAACTATACTAAATTACTTATAGAGATTATATACCTGATAAAACACCTCCAGCAACTCAATCCATATATATTCCAGCAGGATGTCTTTATATATATCAAGTCCTAACTAAAGAAGGAGTCTATTAGTACTACTCTGGCAGGAGATATCCTGCTCTGCTAGCCTAGTATTAAGGCTATCCTCCGGGAAAAATACAGTGAGATTCTAGTAGCCTATGGGAACCGGCTGGCTGTCAAGAGTATAGAGATTCTGTTCTGCTGGCTCTAGAAATGACAACATAGCCGGTTCCAATAAAAGGGATAGGATAATAAACTATATTATATACTCTATTAAAAGAGCGTTAAGATCATTACTCTTGTTCAAGATAAGAATACTGCCTGCCAGTGGAAATAGTCTCTCTGGATCTCCTTTATCCAGAGCCACTGGCTGCTTCTATACCCACAAAGCCAGGGTTTCATGCAGAAGGATAAGGAAATGGGACAGCTTATATAGTGGTCCAGTATCCACTAAGACATGGCCTACTACTATCAGCAGCTATACGGTCCATCATCTTCTGTGCTTCCAGACCATTCACGCTTTCTCCCATTCTGATCGCACGTCGAGATTGCCTCTGCCGCAAGTACTGCACGTCGCATTGTTGTTGATGTTTGTTTCTTTAGAGTCCGGGTTTAAAGATTGATTAATATGTATAGATACATAGAATGACACTTAGCGGTATTTAGAGTTAATGGAGTTAATGTTTAGGTAAGAAAATACATCCTATTCAAATTCTGCAGACACATTCAGCCTCTACTTCGGAGTATACTTTAGTGTGTGTGTGGATAACAGAGTATTGTTTAATGTAAAATACAATTGGAAATGACCTCAAACACATGGTGATTCAGCGTATGTCGACTATTCAAAAAGGACCAACCTTTCTGGGATACATAGAGAGAGGAATATGGGCTCCCCAAAACAACGAACATTAGGAAAGAAAAAATTGGAAAGGTACAATCACTCACCTATGGTGTGGCTCAGGCATATCATAGTAACATAATTCCCGGTCCAACTGATCACCTCACTATTCTGACAGTAACCAGTAAAGAAAAAAAAAAGTCCATAAAAACAATCAGAAATGTATACGAGAATCTAGGTGAAGAGATATACCATTCAGTGATCACATAGTATGAATAGTTAGTGTAGATCCCATATTGTCATTCGTGCGCAGCATATACTGTGGGGTCAGAGTGAATTTGAGACCTCTATTTGTTCTGTCAGGTTTGCAGCTGAAGAACCCGAGACTGCATCACCTGTAAGATTGAGGTATTTCGATTGTACCAGTGGCTCGTTGAGGGGTTTCTCTCTGCGATATACACATTCTTAGTATATGCTAGACCATTCCTATTTAGGCAGTCGTAACGTAACATCGCCAGCCTTAAAATGACAATATATATCCACTTAGTCCCTGCGTAGTGATAAGAATAGTAAATGACTGGACCCGTATATGATATGCATAATCGGGACAAATTCCCCGCTGACCGGGCAGACCCCTGTACACCGAGTCTAAAATAACTAGTATGTGTTATCCTAATTAGAAATAGGGTGGGACGGAAAATCACGGCATATTTATTCTCTCATCTTGACTGTACTACTAATGTGTCTCATGTATTAGGATTAGTTGATAAAAATATTGCCAAGAGTGGCCCAGGTGACCCCCAGAACTTAACCTAATGTAATCATACTGTCAAAACAAGACTCCATGCAGCCTACGATTAATTGACCTTGAGCCTTGGGCAGACCCGAACTAAACTCTGCTTCATTAATGATCGAACTATTTCGCACGGAAGTCGAATAATAACACCATGGCTCTGTCCGCTCGCAACCCACTTTATTCCTAATTAGGATAACACATACTAGGTATATTAGACTTGACCCATAGGGACCCACCTAGTCAGAGAATAGTAAAATCTTGCAAGTGATTGATTGGCTTAATGATCACAACATAATCAATACTTACCATGGGGAAGCTGACCTGCGACATGTTCATTTCACGGCAGGCTTGGGAATTTTCTTATCAGATCCAAGGAAGTCGGCTTCAATCTTGTACAGTAGTTCCAAAATCGTTACTACTTCCCCCTTATCCAGTGAGCCTATTGATCTTAGTATTAATCAAACCTTCGAGTAGACTACGAGTCTTCCTTGCCGCCGCCATCAAGGTTGGTCGATCCTGGAAACGTTGGAAGCACTCAAAACGGCCGTCGGCGCCATGGGTAATCCCCCGGGGGGGGTGCACAGAAAGAGAGACTGGATATAGAGATCGGATATCAGATAATTTCGGGTGATTTTCCCCAAGGACAGTACTTTTCTTCAATAATCGCTGTCGGTGTGAGGGGGCTGACTGTGAAGTGATATCTTCAGCCAGCCACTTTAAGAAATTTCTACTAGGGTGAGGACCCTTGCTACAAGGTGACATGGCTTTGATCCTCTCGTTTTTAAAATTCATAAAATGCAGCTCTTATGCTGAGGGATAATCAAGTTTCAGCTAGCCAAAAGGCTCATAGGCGTTTGTTTCTTACGTCTTTGTGAGCATTTGCTGAGATTGAACAAGACCATGAACGATACAACAGCTGACCTGAAGGCCTAGAGGATTTCCAAATGTAACAGTACCCTTGAGAGGGGTTTTGATCTATGCAGAGTGATGCATGTTTGGCATTCATCACCTGCAGCCTGTATCACCGCTGATCCAGCTCCCAATCATTTACATCAGGAAACACATTATATCATTTTTGACCAGATTCTAGACCTGAGATGATGACGTGAGAGTGATTGTCGAACAGCTCTTAGGGTGCAGCTAGACAGTATAAATACCTTGGTGAAGTCCATACTATCTCCCTATCTTCAAGGAAGTAGCCCCGTTCAATTATAATCTTACTCAATACATCACAAATTTCCAATTTCAATACGTCGACATCGGACCTTCAAAATGGTCCACTACACCTATGTCACGTACCAGAGTACTGGAGACGGAAACCTAGGCGAATACTTCAACTGGGTTATGGTCACCCCTGATCGCAATACTGCCAATACATATTTCCGTGCCCTGCAGCAGTTTCAGACTGTTATCGACTCCGACGTCAACGGTAACCCAGGTGCCAAGCGTACTTTTACCTCTGTCGACCGTTACAACTCTCAGTTCTGGACTTACGATTCAGACAATGGTGAGAACTTTCATCTCGCCGCCCGAGCGCTGTGTGGTAATCCCAAGATGAAACAAGTGAATCCCGACTTCTCTAGCGTTTTCGGCAAGATCAGAGTTTACTGGATCGGAGCCTATGCGGACGGGCGATTCCGTACCTTCTTCCCACATGACGATGGTGCCGGCGGAGCCGATGATGGTGATATGTTGTCCGGCTATAGCTTTTTCGTGAAGCGTCGCGGTATCCACGACTATTGGTGCCTCGCCTCTTCGGGATATGTCATCCTTGCCAGTTCTCGGCGGTCACGATTTATCTTTACGATTTTGCAAAAATCAGGGCAAAAGATGTATCCTAAGATGCCGATTACGGATGATGACGAGGTCAAGATCGAGGTTCTTGACCAAGGGTTAAGGATCCCAATTGGCGTCAACAGTAGCAACCAGTTGGTTGTGGGGGCGGGTCTCAGCCACCAGAGATTCACATTCCATGATTTGAAGGCTCGCTTTTCTCTTTCGCAAGGTAGAACCCAACATGCAAATGGTGACGAGAGCCTTTCTATTGTGACCTGGACCAGCACGGAGAGCTTGGGAAGTGCCGACTCCTTTGAGATTATCGATGGTATTAATCTGAACGAGACCGAGTCTTAGGCTTACTATCTGTGGGCTTTGTCGAACTGCTAGTCAAATGGCTTTTTTGGGACCCTGCACTCCTTTCACCGGGCTGTTGAGGAAGGTTGACAAAGAATCAAACTAGTCGATAAATTCACTTTATTTTCAAATGAATAAACATTTTAGACGTTTTGCCTGCCCTCATTCCAAATTAACACCACACTCCAACAAAAATATAGAATTCAACAGTATATTAAGGATATTTCCAAAACTCAACCAAAAGAAAAATACAGAAGCAAACGACTAATACGGCCAAAAGCCTCTTACATCGGCTGAGGCTCGGACTTGGGAGAGAGATTGTCTGATCGGCGCGCGGTGGAGAGGCTTCTTTGGCTGAAGTCAATATAGGAAACAATCCATATGGCGTAATATTATCACATCGCTATTATTTTGGCCGGATGGAAATAAAGAGAGAGAAAGAATACGGGCATTCACTTAAACAGAAGGTGAACCCGAAGCGGGTGCCTTCTAGACAGTTTGGTTAGTGATATTTAATCTTAAAGTACTATATAAAGATTATTCTTGTGAGAATCCTTATTATTTTTTTGATGCGATCTATAGCTATCCTATCACTAACCTAAACGCTCTGCCAGCCAGATCATCCTACTGGCCGGTCCAGTCAGGACCGCCAGCCGGAATACCCAGCCAACAGAGGATGTCGCGACGAATGAAGGTTCATTCGGATTGGGGTGCTAATAATGCAGGACAGTGATTGGTGGAGTAATGTCCATATTTTTGAAAAGTTATATACACATTCCTTTGAGACAACTGTTCCGATGTGCTCGGTATTTTCAAGGGTGCGTTATGTAGAGTACGTGACTTAGTTTGCAGCACCAATTTTAATGATGAGATTTGTTGTAGTATCACTATCCTAAGTACCTATATCCGCCAGATAATACTCAATGCGCTTCTCCCATACATTCATTTCTATCCAACAATGCTTTTGACATACCTTTAACAATGGGATCTACTTTAACAGCGCCCAACCTTCCCCGGAGCTCAGCCCCAGTCTGTCTGGCGACGTAAGCTTGTGGAGAGACATTTACTCGCCTGGCGGACTGTAAGCGACATTCTGACAGTGCTCACAAAACAGTACTGCAGACGTGAAATAGCGCGCAGCCCAGCAAGGCAGCCATCACTACAGAGTCTCTGTGCCTTTGTCTGCAACATGGGAAGGAGAGACTTCCTTTTGACATTTAAGCATATATATCATAAGGTCAATACGTTCGTCATAGCAGTTTAATTTGGTCATGTATAGTGGCTAAATGTCTGGTTTTTGCCCGTAAACCAGCGATACCTCGACGTATGCGTGAACGCTTGGATTACTTAGCGCTTCTCGCATCTTTGCAAAAATAACTTCAACCTCTTCTCTTGACCACTAATAGCCACTGTTAGCTCCTGTGCGTTTGTTCTAGATAGCGGCTACTCACTCCAAGAACCTTGGTCCACAGCATCATTGCCCACATCTCCAGGCTCTCCTTGACAACGAGTCGAAAGTACCGACCCAGGTTCTTAAGATGCGGGTCTTTGGGCCAGGGGCCAATGGGCAGCTTAAAACGCCGTTCAAAAACGTCAACAAAGCCAGCATCAATCATTCGCTGCTTGGACTCATGGACGATTCGCAATGTTTTGCCGAATTTATCACCAGCTTCGAGACTCTTTTCACCCCATGTTTTGTATACCGTGCCTTCGGTGCTTCCATCATCCGAGATCGGGGTAACGCTCATTTCGATCTGTTCCAGATATCCTCCGGGGTGAAGGTGTCTAAATAACAAGATATTCAGCATCAGGGGGCGGCTGCTTGGTTACGGGAGCATACTTCAGAGCTTGCTGATAGAATCTCCCCCAATCCGCCACACAACCATATAACCCGCGCACATGGATAAAGTCAAATGGGGTTTTGTACAGCCACTCATCGCAACAATCATCGACCTCGAAATGTACGTTGGGAGGGACAAAATTTGGCTGGATCGGGGAAAGGTCCGTCCCAATGACAGTGGCTTCGGGATGAACGTCGGCAAATTCGATGGCCCAGGACCCAGTTCCTGTTCCGATATCCAGAACCCGCTTGGGATTCATGATCGGAGAGAGGTATAACCGGTCATCTAATAGCAACCTATATAGATGATGGCAGATCTCCATTGCGTCAATGGACTTGTCGTCGTTAGATCCCCAATAGGATCCCGCATGGTAGGCGTGGTATCGTCGACCGTTCTCGTAAATGTAGTCGGCGATGCTGCTCCGAAGTGATGTTACTTCTGAATCGGTCGCCACATAATTGGAGCCGTAATCGTCTCCGGAGTCGACTTCGATCACTTCCTTGCCACTTGCCATGTCGATAAATCCTTCCATGGAATCGAGGTTAAGGGTAGAGGAAGGTTGAAACAAAAAGACCCCACCCTACGTGCAAGAGGCTATATATATGTCAGGCGGCAAGCATGACCATCAGGTTACATCTCGGGAATTTGTCTTTATTATTTATGTGGGAGTAGTCCGCCGGTAACTAGCGATACAAGATCAGCCGTAAGCAGAACTAGTACACTAGTCACAACGGTTCAGACAGTGGGCCCGGGGAATCAGGCAACTGGGGCCGCTTCCCAATCACAGCTCCCAGAAGAAATCTCTGAAATTAAAAGACAGGTAGTAAGTTCTGTAATGTTTAATGGTGAATACTGCTAAACCTCAGACCACCTTCTTCGACAATTCAGTTACCCGCAAAGTCTTGTAGCAGTTAATATAGTGTAGGGCTGCGCACGGATAATGCTGGAGCATATGTTAGTAGTTGTTCTTGTTGCAAGTTGAAGCGATTGATCCTTTTCTAGATACAGGCAGGAAGACTGTCATATATATACACTCCCAGTCCCCGTCATGTTGTTTCAGCCGCTGGGGTATTCAACAAGGATAGTGCAGGACATACTGTGATACTTATTATCATATACTTTGTTTAGTTCTTCGTATTCAGTTGCATATTGTTAGTTGATGCCTACCATTGCAAGCTCGAGTGAGACCGTGAGACATTAGACACGTGGCGGCGGGGGGGAAGATGATGTTAGCTAGCCTACCATTAATTCCTCTCTATTTCCCTCCTTTCTATTCTAGTCCTATCTCTGATTTGTCTGGTTACCTCTAAGACTTCATACTATTTTTATTGTATTGGACGAGTGATAACTAGCAAGGATCTATTTCAGATGTGGTAGAAGTGCTTTATGCCGCAAATATATATTCAGAGCTTACTAAAATTTCGAACGAACACTCTAAGCTGAGACTATTAAAAGTTTTAATAGTAAACTTTTATTAGCTTATCTTTAATGGAAGACTTTTAGCTGTATAGCACTTCTCTTACCGTTCCTGTACCAGCTAAAGCGTTAAAGACATATAAGTACATTATCAAGAACTAAAATATCTTTGATCTGAAGCAAGTCTGGGTTCGTCCGGTTAGACTTGCTTTACTCCACTTATCTCGAGTAACAATGTTCCGCCCAAGAGCCACTGGTGGGGTGGGTGCTTGATCAAGTCTGGTGATGGCCGTGGAACGATCCGAACGAACGATCCGAACCCACGGATAACCCATATAGAAGCATACCGGAGCACGGTATGCTAAGTCGCGGTTAGGGACATTATCTGATAGAAGGAAGAATACAGATCGGACAAACGGTAGGGAAAGTAAAATTACTGCCAGCACCCCAGCCAGACTCAAGGGCGGCTGGGACCATGGCATGATACATGTATTACCAATTCAGACCAAACAGCCAGCTTTAAAACAAGGCCATGGTTGGGTGGTTTAAGTCGCGTATCCACATCAGCTAATGTAATTAATTATCAGTGTTTCCGACCAAGGCTCTACACAGTAGACTTTCACGCATCGTGGTGGGTGTTGTTTCTTATGTTACTCCACTAAAGTTACTAGCTCACCCTGTGTCGAGCTTACCAGATTGTAAAGTTTTCTGTCGCAAAGTTTTGTGACAGCGAATACACTGCTTTACCTTGCTAAGTGGGTGGTATTCTTTATTCAATATACCGGTCTTCTAATCGTATATTTTGTTTCACCCTTTTTACCGAATCAAATATCTGGATATCCTATTTTATTAGTCACATCATCAACCTTCTATTGTTCTCGCCTACCCTATTACGTATAATCATGTAGACTTGAAAGGAAAAGAAAACCCTCGGTTATCCATGCCTAGGTCTCGCGAATAACATGTGTATGACTTGCCTGGCTCTCCGCGTCGTAATCTGGAGAGTAGCGGACGATAGCCCGGTTAGTGCCTCCCTCTGGTATTGTGACTAACTTATGTTTCTCGTTAAAGACGTCTCCAGTGCGACCACTATAAGATGCCTTGAAAAAGGTTATAGTATACGTCCTCTGCTAACTACTATAGTTTGTTCTCTAAGGCTTATCCCAGATGATCAGAGACTATAGAGGAAGGGCTTGAACTGACCAGTAGCCTGTCTGTCTATTAGCTCTGCTAGCCAGTCTGCCTGTCCGAGTCCGCGCCCTCACAAGAATATCTAGATTCTGACTTCTGATTTTATTATATAAGTATTAGAATTATAAATATGAAAAACTAATCCTTCCCCATAACCTCCGCTGCGGCTATGAGGAGGGGAGGGAGGTGAACGCGGGGAGGTTAATCCACTCTAAGAAATACTACTTAAGTATTATTTATTATTATAAGCTTCTTAAGATCCAAAGAGCTATCTACAGTAGATAATACTTTACTTCACTAACTGGTAAGAAACCGCATAGATATAGAGACAATACGGATATAAACTATAGTATATACTGTAATAGAAGACTATTATACTAGCCAGATATATAAAGCGACTTATCGCTCAGGAGATAGAAGTCTTACTCAGCGGAATATCAGTATAGGCTAGTTAAAAGATGGAGAGAAAGCAGAATTGTCTCCAGCCGCAGCCTGTAAAAATAGATAGAAGCAGGGATAGCAATAGAATTCTATCTTCTTTTCTAGCTGCTACACAGCCAGAGATATACTAAGGTCAAGAAGGGTTGATATAGACAGCGAGTACTCTAAGTTAAGTATATATCGCTTCAGAGACTGTATCGATAAGGATTAGCTATAGTTAATTTCTAAATAGACTAGTATAGAATAGCTACCTTCTTATTTAGGAATTCCATACCACGACACGACATGCGTTGCGAGCCATCAACTTAAAATGCCTCCCAAAATCCACACAAATATCATAAAATTAATCGGGTACCTGATTGGGATAGCTGGGCACTGGTTCCATCCACTGGTGTACCATGGTGGCCGCCAGCCGTCCCGTTGTCGTGTGCTTCATGCCGTGAAGTCGCTGGGTAGATGACGAACTATTCACAGGACAAAGGCAAGCTTTGTAGAGTTTGATATAACCGCATGTGGCGGATGAGACAACCTTTAATTCAAGAGTCTGATTTGTGTGAGATAGTTCTAACAGGTGGAGACCCTGGGAGTATTTAGGAGACTTAGTCTATAATTATTAAAGCAGTACAAACGCTTTTTGTAATTCTAAATTATATTCACGTGCATAGGTGTTTCTTCTCTGACATAGCCTGCTATTTTCTTTGCCCCTTATGGCCGCTTTTCATTCTGCTCTGTCCGCACACTTATAGGCACTGTTCTGCCGTAGACGTGGCTTGGATTTCTCATTTCATTTACCGTGGGAAAACATGACAAATAATGTGCGTAAAACAGTTCAGAATCACGAGAGAGGGGATAATACCCAATCGATAAATGTATCTGCCAGGGATACCTCACCCTCACGCCTGGGCTCAGGTTGTCTCCGGCCACTTAGTTATAGCCCTGACTCAGGGCTACGCTGCTAGTTTCGGGATGTTTCAGAGCTACTATAATCTACATTGTCTCAGTATTTCTTGGATCAGTGACTTCCAGATTTCCTGTCTTTTATTCATCTTGACATTATCCGGTCGCGCAACAAATGCTGGAATAGCAAGACTGGTGCTAGGATCAGCGCGGTCCTGTTGGTTCTGGGCACCTTCTTGACTAGTCTGGCCACAGAATACAGGCAGATCTTTCTGGCTCGAGGGCTCTGCATTGGTATTGGTCAGGGTCTCATATGGCTTCCTAGTGTAACACTGATTTTGACGTACTTTATGCATCTGCATATCCTTGCTGTTACGGCCGCTGCCACGAGAATGAGTACAGAGGGCATAATTTTCCGGCAATAATTCAGTACCTTACTCCAAAGATCGGCGAGTCAATGTTTGTTACATCAACGTGCTATGTTTTATCAGGTAAAGTAGAGAGCAGGGTTTCCATGGGCTGTCCGGTGCATGGGATTTATTGTCCTTGTTATGGTAAAAATCGCCCCATCGCTTCTGCGCCCTCGACTGCCACCGCGGAAGTCGGGACCATTGGTCGAATGGAGTGCCCTGACTAGGTAACAGAATAATAGATAACTTACGGGTAGGGAAGATAAGTTGCATTCCTGTTACTGCCTTCTATCCGTCACCATCTGATCGAGATTTGTATGCGTTGTTGGCTCCAGTAGCAACAAGACTACCTACTACAAGAAAGAGTTACAGCGAAACAACAACAAGGCCACGGAACAAGGCTGGAACAATCTTACCTCAACAATATGACTACAATAAGCCCAGCTGTTCCTGCCTCTGGCCCCTCCACTTTTTGTCACCCTCTGCTCGCATCGCGTCTCCGAAAGCTCGACTTTGTCGTTGTCCATTGTTTCAACTGTATCCGATCGTCACACTCCTCTTTGCTCTCTCTGTTGCTTTTGCTCACTACAGTCGGCTCACACGTATGACCATGCGTCGTCGGAGAGAAACCACTGCGAGCTCCCGCACTGCCGCCACTGAATCATCCACTCCGTCTCCTGGAATTACCGACGACGATAGATCCTTCGAACCCAACTTCGAGACAGATTTGACGGAATCCGAACGCCCGTCTTCCCCTGTTCGGAAGGCCAAAAGAAGGAAAACAGGCCGGGCCCCCGCTTCAAAGTGCCTGCGGACGGACTTTCAGGAGTTCAATCCTTCGGAAACTGAGAATATCACGGATGTGTCGGCTGCGGGGCTTATTCACCGGGGCCGTTACGATCCAGCCGATGATACAGATGAGGATCTGTCTAAGATGCCGGAAGATTATGGCAAGTCGGATAAAACCCGGAAACATAACCTTCGACTGAAGAACCGCTGGGCTTGGTTAGTATCCACGCGGACCAAGCCTTTTTTTTTTTTTTTTTTTTTTTTTTTTTTAAACCGTTGTCTTTAATAGATCGACCTCTGACCCATATGCTTTCAGGTACTGTCGGATCAAAGCAATCGAGCCGTCAGCCGATCTGAAATGGGAAGACGCAGAGGACGCCTTACGCCAAGCCTCTCCGAATGACATGCACCGGTTTCTGAATTGGTGTCTCAAGCTGGAGTATAATGAGGATGGTCGCCATCTGAAGGGTTACCGGAAAGCTAGTTCCCTTGACGCGGATTGGAAATTCTTTCGAGTTTACTATACTAAAGTCATCAAGTAGGTGATGAGTAAAGAAATGGGTGAGGCGGTCCGCACTGTGTGTTCTCCCCGTCCTGCGTCCTGTGTCAGCATGTTACTGACCGTGTGGGCAGGGAATGAGACACTTGATCGATAAACACGCGTTGGACAAACAGCGACGGGCGAACATTCCAGTTTATATTGAAGACATGGTACCGTTCAATGAAACAATTCTTCAAACCCGGAAAAAGCGATTCCATCTTGGGTTTCAGCGGATTATTCTATGTCTGTACAACACCATCGGGCTGTTCACTGTTAACCGGAAAGAGGCGATGCTACACGTCCAGTTCAAGCATCTACAGATAAGACTCCAGCGGGATCCACGTGGAGGACCTCCAATACCGACGGTCGAAATTGAACCGGAGTTTGTGAAAAGCGTTCTAGGAATGTCAAATGTGTACGTGGCCCTCAGCCTCCTACCTCACCCAAACCCGGTACCTGGTTAGCTCATTGAACTGACAATGAAACAGCAATACCTTCGTATTACCAGAGATCGTCTATGGTATATCGCTTGTTTTCAGCCCACATGTATTGCTCTTCGTCGTACTATTCTATGTAAATGCGTTTGAGGCGCCTTACTTGACTTCGATGGAGGCCCTTCGGAGGCTGCTCGTTGAGGATGGCCGACAGGAGATGCAACTACCTCTGAAAAAGGGGATGGACGACTACTATGTTTTTCCGAAGGTTGACGTGATTGACGGCAAGCCCTGTATCTTGTGGAAGATACGCATGAACGGCTCTACACTCGATGCGCAGCTTAGGTCAATCTGTGAAATACTTGATTTGCTGAATCATTTCTTCTCCCACCAGTTTCGTTACGGAACTGGGGAATTGCTTGATCAAAGTGGTAAGGACTCTAGTCTTTCCGACCCAATTTTTTTTAACCCTAAAGATCACTGACTATCGAATCTAGGATTTGTGAGCGACGCGCAGCGCAACGTGGTCATGGCGCACGCGAGCAGCAGAACCTTCGTCGAGCACTATCGACCGCGGCAGCATACTGGTATGCTGGAGATCGTACGCGGACTCAACCCAGATGAGGAATTTGCGAGAGCTGTAAAACGAATGAGCCGTTCGATTGACGAGAGGCGACCTCGGTACCTAACCGCCGCTGAAAAAGCGGCAGTGGAGATGGATCCCGAGTTGCAATCCGCAATACGATGGAAAGTTGAATTGAAGGACCGTTGTGCTCAATCCAACGATCCAACATTGCGGGCCTTGTTGGAACAACAGAAGCGCAATGTTAAGAACACTCGTCGCCGTCTCTCCTGGAGACGGCGGAAAGAGATCCGCCAGGAATTTAGCCGGAAACAAGCGGTCATTGATATTGAGAGGCAATTGACAGGCGCTGCGGTTAATGACGAGCTTGCCCGGGAGGTGTTACGGAAAGAGTTTGACATGCCACCGGTGCATATCCTCCTTGTGGAGACGTTTTTTACATGGTCCACTTCAGACTCATTGGAAGATGAGTGGATGAGGCGCAATAAAGCCGTGATGGCGGGTGTACAGTATTGTGGTTTCCCTGAGGGGGGCCCTCTCCGCGGACGGCCGAAAAGTCCTGCATCAGACAATGAAGGATCAATAGCGGATCCACCGACTAAGAAGCAGAAGAGACCGGAGCGGCCGACTGTATCAGCATGGGAGGAAAATGTTGGTGCCGTCAAGAAAAAGGTGGCGGCGGACAAGCCATCGGCGTGTTTTCAATGCTTAAAAGAATACTCGGATGTTTATGGCGTGAAGAGACACTTTAAGGCATCACATCTGCAGGATCGCAAGTGCAATTCCTGTGACCTGTTGCTACAGCATGAGATGCACCTACGGAGGCATGCACAAGAGGTCCATCGGCTTCGTACCTGAGCTTCTTGCTTCGCGGCGTGTGTAAACTTGGAGTGTGCTTGTCAATCTGATGGCTTTGGTTAAGGCAGGGCGTTGCATCTCACGCGACATCTTAACTGGCACCGTTATAAGTACTGCAATGGACTACTGCCGTGAACACCACGGCCAGGACAAACACTGGCCATCCCTATGCTCCATGTTTCAGATAGATGAGTTAGACCCTACTTTGTCGTCCTATGATCTTCCAGGTGAAGGGTGCGAGTGCCTGGTTTCTCTATTGAGGTTTGCAAGACATTCTAAAGTCCACTTAGTCTCCATTTGGCCACCAATATGAAACAAGGACGGTCTAGGTCGTAATACTATCGTTCAAAAATCTACGCGGACGCTTTCCTATCCTCTTTCAGCCATTGCCGCTTTAAGAGGGTGAGCCAGGTGAGCCAGGTGATCCGCTCACCTACAAAGGCGATCCGCTCATGCTTTCGAGGTGATTCCCTCACCCATCCGTGGTGATTCGCTCACCTCTTCAACACCAACAATCACCCTTCCTCCGTGTGTCGACGCCAGTCTTCTAGCTCCTTCACTTAGCATTGACCATGCGTCGACTAAGAGACAGGGAATATGGCCCTAAGAAGTCAGGGTCCCCGCGGGCCCCCCGACAAAAGGCGCGAAGACGTCCTGCCTGCCCTCCTTGACTTCTTTTCCACTTCTTTCGTCCTGACATCTTGGATTGCTTTGAAATCTGGTACCTATTCCTTCTCTCAGCCCTGCTCTGAATACTGTTCCCCGCTGAACACTGTTTTCCTCCTTTGCGTTACACTCTGTCTCTGTACCGCAGAAATGCCCAAAGGAACACGAAAGGTTGATAGACTGGCTGTCGCCCAAGCCAACGGCTATATTCGGGGAGCGAATCGAAAAAAAGACCAACATCACTTTGAGACCTTCTATTCAGATGAATCCAAGATTCTCCAGGAACGAGTACTATAGGATTATCGTGTCAGTGCCGTCCATACTTCTCTAGTATGCAGTCGTTCATCTTACTGAATCTTTGTCTCTTGAACACGTAGGTGGGCATCCCAGGAGGATGAAAATCTCCGAGAAGGGGGCCTTCGTGAAGGACAGCCCGTGCCAGACCTGGCCACGATTAAGGATTTCATACGATTTTACATTTTCTCCGCACGGAATGGTCTCTCTGCGCCCTACAAAGTCGTCCGTACTGAATTTCGCCGAGCGGTTCTTTGCAGGCTTCACACGTCTTACCAAGTCTACTTTTGATAAGAAGGATACTCGGGACGTTCATAAGGTTTGTGAATTTGCATCTTCCCAAGTAAGCGGTGACTTTCCACTATCAACAAACTGTTTCTAGCTTAGCTGGATTTGGATTAGGGAGGTTTCGGGCAGGGGCTAAGTAATGATCTGAGCGTGTCCATGAGGATTTTATTTGACTTCTCAGGGTCAACTATCAGCATAAATGGCCAATATCCTTCTCCAAGCAGATGACCCTCTGGATTCAAACGCCTCTCTGTCGCGCGTGGTGCTCGACCTGGCCCAGCTCCATCAGCTGGCAGCAGGGCTTGACCTTACAATCCACGTATCCTATCTCACAAAGGTTCGGATAGGAAAATTCAATGCAGCCCAATTCTCTGGAGTGCCACTGCGGCTATATTCGCTACTTCGGACGGTAGCCTTCTTGTTTAATCTTCCGGTTTCAAGTTTGCTGAGCACTGGCAATTCAATCAGGTCAAATGATGTCGGCTGGGAGGTGATAATGATTTTGATGATGTCTTCACATTGCCTGCTACCTTTCCCAATCAGCTCAACTGGTACTTTCATTGAGAATTTTCTTCTCATTTCTCTTAACCCGAGGTCAGGATTTGCTGGAGGAATCACTTCGCAGCCTCTTGAGATATTATCAATCTGCCAACAAGGACCCAGGCTATAGAGATAGACATATAGCACTGTTTGCCCTTTGTTTTTCACTACCACACGGTGCACTACGCCCTCGTCTGTTTCTATCAGATGCCCGGGTTCGTAACACACGCCAGAGGGACTGATGATATGCGCATCAAACAGCTGCTGAAATTGTTCTGCAAATATGTTGTTGCTGAGGTCTCTGGTGAACTTGTATCTCACCAGGTGCTCAACGATGTTTGAAATGGTGCCGAAGGCTGTTTTGTCCTGGGCCATATCTGGCAGATTTTCAATGATTTTCCCAAACCTGTCCTGAATTTCGTACTGGCTGTTGTTGTTCATAGTAATATAGAATGAGTACTCTTGTTCTTCATTCATATGGTAGCTTAGCGACTGCGCTTCCAATGCTCTTAGGAGTTTGTGCAGATGTGGAAGGTCACCGGCTAGTCGAACCGGGTATTTCTGAAAGTATATCCGAGGATACCCTGTGGCAAACCATCTAGTTGGGGTGGGTGAGGGTGCCGGGCCTCCAAGTAGGTCTACTTTTGATGTGAGGGGTCCCACCTGGACAACTCTAACCGATAAAGAGTGTCCGCTTGACAGGGAGCAGTCCCCTGCGGAATTCATGCCTTGTAAAGCGAAGCAGTCTCCTATGTGAATCCCATGGGCGTTGCCAGCGCTTAACACCAAGCTTGCATCCCGGTTCATGATGATCGACGTAATCGCGCGGGGATTCTCGAAGTCGGACTGTTGAAAGAATGGTTGTTTTCTATTCCCATACACGACAGGGTTTTGCTGATGCAAATTCGACTCTTGGAATTTGCTACCCAAATGTTTATGGATGGCGTCGTGTCTTACCCCAAGGCCATTGATCTCGATGAAGGACAAAAGAAAGTACGACAAGGCCCCATGCATTTGACCATTGCCTGGGTCAATTTCTTTTGCCACTTCATGGGGCCCACACGCCGCGAGGATTGCGTACCCATCCGGATTGATAAGCCAGTTGGGTAACATGCAGGCATCTCGATGTCCGGAACCTGAACTGCTGGTCTCCTCTGCGGAATTCTTCGAGAGGTCAGGGTTGTAAGGGAGATACCGAACCATGGAGTCATCGTGACGATAAACAGCGGCAGAGAAACAACAGTCAAGCACAAGAGTAAGTACCAGTCCATTATCAACCATTTTCCGTAGATGACTGGCTAGCACCGCGCCATACAGATATTTTTCACGGCCCTCGTTGCGCTCATCAAGCAAGACCAAAGCCAGATCCCCTGTGGACCAGTTGGAGTGTAAATATTGTGACCCTATTCGGGTCCCGTGGCCAGAGTAATGTATATAAACCAGGTCCCCAGTCTTTGCCGACGAAAGCACCCGTGTTAGAGCAGAAACCACATTTCGGTGAGTGGGCCAGATATGCTGCGGCTCCAGCAAACTTCGAGCTCCTCCATAGTCGTCGCTCCTGGTCGCCGTCAACATCTCAATCTGAACTGAAGTCGAGGCTTCCTTAAGGTATCTTTCTATTCTTTGCACATCCTGGACACTGCCTTCGAGGGGCCTTTCCTGGTAGGCATTGATTCCGATTAGGATCGCGTAGCGTGAGATTGGGGGTTTTGTATCGCACATAGCGAGGAGGTATCTGGATTCTCTTGTAGGAAAAGGCAAGATACTTAAGCAAGCGACACTGATGAGGCATACAGAGGAATAACTTATCCTAATCCAAATTTGGCGGAGGAAAGGTGTGCACCGCAGCTGACGACAGATATTAGGCAACTATTGCGGGGTAGCCTCAGCCTTGTTGGGTGCTGCGACTGTACTCTTTACACGAGCACTCTGAGAATAACTATCGTAGGTCATGTACACAGCTCCTTGGGTCCGCCCAAAGACCTAACCAGTCATGCAGCCGCCAAATCAGCCATCTTTATCTTACTGCCTTCTTTTGCAGGATTACCATCTTCATCACACAGAGTGCAAGCATCGGTGGCTGGAACTGACGCAACAGTAAATGGTCCCTCGAGTCCATCCGTGCCAACAACATACACGAGATCTCCCACATGAAACTTCGGTCTCTGCCAGATCCTTTCTTAGTGGTTACCTCAAAACTTTCTTGACTGCAAGTAGTTACACACATCCACATAAGATACTACATACGGCCGGGTGCCGCCTTCGCGGATACTGGGGCTGGGGTTTGTAGTAAGCCTTGAAAGTCCAACCAGTAGATACAACAAAAAGAAGAATAATCCATACTTCTCGGTCATGGTTTATTAAAATAACTTAAGGTGAAGCGGTAATTAAGATATCGGTTAGATCGCCTAATCAACCACCAGGGAGTGTTTTGGCAGCTTTTATAAGAAGGCGGGGTCACGACCCGTAGGTGCCTAACGAGGCCAACAATTCAACCGGAGGTTCGGGTCTCCAATCAATCTGAAGAGTCTCGATTCTGAAGACCGTGCCTCAAAACTGCGACAGGTTAACTTAAGGCATACTCAGCAACGTGGCTGTGTTCGTGAGGCACCCCACTGGCTGACAACCATTATCCAACTCTCACTTCCGCATATGGCCAAAGGCTCGAAGAACTGGACGCGGTGGCCCTAGAAGATTGCATAAATTTTTGTTAAATATTCATGTAGAACCCTCTTTGTCAACCTCATCTGGAGAAGCCGCAGAAATGGCTTCCCCTGGAAACTCCCTTCCTCTGTGGGAGCCTAAGCAACAACCGCGGGTAAAAAAGAGTAAATACTTCCCGCCTTGCAAGTCAGATTCAAAAACCCGCTAATGTCTCGGAAGTTGAAGATTACCGGTCCGGCTATCCCAGGCTCACTGCACTCCTCTCTTCTCATAGTCCCTATTTCATATGCAGATCCTTCACTCGCCTTCGAGCTCGAGTTCTCCTGTTGAAACAGGACAGACTCTCTGTCCTGGAACAAAAACTGGATCAGCTTGATGAGCAGGAATCCTCCCACTTGTTCCTGGGCAAAAGCCGGAGTGATAAAAACTTGGATCGGATGGCACTACTGTCCGAAGTCGATTCTTGCCTTACTGATTACGGTAAGTACTCGAATTTGAGCATGGCATGGTTGAGTATTCACAGATCTCTAGATAGCTTTCTTGAACGGACTCACCGTACATTGGGGCTCGGCCCTCCATCTCAAAGGGATGTCCAGGCTCTGCGAAATTGGCTTGATGGCACAGGCGCGGTTGCTAGAGATGAGCGGGCATACCTCACACACTTCCAGGATTTAGTCACTGTGGCCCCCACTGGCGATACGGCCGTGGTGCGCTTAGAAACCTGGGTTGAGGACCAGCTGATCCGCTACTACAGCGGTTTCCGAAATGTACAGCAACATCCGTGGACGGATGCCACTGATGGTTACCTTCAGGAGCTAATTTGTAATAGGGGCCTTATCATGATGCTTCAAATGACGCAAACGTATATATCTATTCAGGGTCCTTGATCAGACGAGCGGCTAAAGCACTACTCTTATTCATGATCACAATGCTCCTTTTGGCTCCAGTCATTCTGTGCAATATCACCCACAGTGTGTCACTCCGAGTGATTATTATTATGGCATTTACCATATCATACCTCCTCATTCTCTCGATTCTAGCGAAATCAAGAACAATGGAGCTTATTATTGCAGGGGCAACGTGAGTCCAATGGAGCTCTCTTCCTTGTTTTCACGGCGGTGTACTTGATTCTAACCCTTCCAAGGTACGCGGCTGTTTTAACAGTCTTTCTTTCTAACGGGTCATGAGGCCAAATTACCGGGCATGGCTCGCCCAGTCTGCTGATTTTGAGATCTCCTAACATTGACCGCCACATTCTATCCCTCTCGTCCCATATACATTCTATTCAATGTGTGTACTTATGTTAAAGCTGCCCAATGAGAAATTCTGAAATAAGGTGGGGTGTGACCAGTCTGGTGTCCCTGTAGCAGATCCCTAGTAAATGACCCAACCCTCTGGTAATAGAGTGAGGTTGAGAGAATGTAAATGTCTGCATTACCCGCTCAGGTAGCTTGCGGGCTCTCCCGGGGCGGGGAATTGGCCACCTGGCACCAATCAAGCGTGGAGCCTGCCATGGGGTAAGCTGACATTGACAGCCGAGGACGGAGAGTTGGAGGCTGGGCGCTGGAGGTCGGTCCTGGAAAGGGGATCATCTCCTTATAATAAGTGGGCGTTAACCTCCATGTTCAGGAGTTAACTGATCCGAAGTAGACTGGATGTCTCTAACTCGACGGCTTGAAAGGGAAAAAAAAAATGGATGAAGTTCAACAAGACATCCCACTCACACAGGCCGCCGTCGACGCCATACCAGACAACCACATAGACTGGGCAAGATTCTTCGATATCCTCGGCCAGGACTTGGAGCAGCCTAAATGGCCTGCATTTCTGAACCACCTCGCACAGAATATGAACGATCTATATCTCGAAAATGATGACTTATCCGATCTCGAACAGGCTATCAAACTTACACGGGGCGCTGTTCATCTCACGCGCGAAGACGATGCAGATCCCGATTACCCAGGGTACCTGAATAATCTGGCGAATCTACTCGGCGACAGGTACATCAGGACGGGGTCAATAGGAAATCTTGAAGAAGCAATCGCCGTTGCACAGCAGGCCATCCATACAATACCGAAGAACCACCCGAGTCGGCCAAAGTACTTGAATAATCTGGGCAATCAGCTGAATGATCGATATCTCATAACAGGCGTGCTTGCTGACCTGGACGAAGCCATCCAAGTTGGCTGGGAAGCTATCCGCCTCACGCCGGAAGACCACATCCACAGGCCGGCACTGTTCAATAATCTGGGGAATCGACTCGGGGACAGGTATCTCAGGACAGACTCCCTAGGCGACCTTGACGAAGCGATACGCATCAAACGGGAAGCTGTCAAAGCCACGCCAGAGAACCACCCAGACCGCGCAGGGCGCTTGAATAACCTCGCAATCGAGCTGAGTGCCAGGTACCTGAAGACATTTGACCGGTTAGACATTGAAATGGCCATCCAGGCTGGTCGGGATGCTATTAGAAGCACGCCGGCCGGCCATGCAGACCTGACGATGTATTTGCACAGCCTGGGCAACTCGCTCGATTACAGCGCCGATGCTTCAAACCTCGAAGAGGCTGTCATGGTTGGGCGGGCGGCCGTCAATGCCACGCCGCGAGACCACCCGGACCGGGCCATGGCCCTGAACAGTCTAGGGAAGCGCCTCGGCGAGAGATTCTTGAAGACAGGCGCATCCTGCGATCTCGACGAGGCTATCTCATGCCACCATGGGGCTTTGTATCAGGAGAATGCGTCCACCATCCATCGCATAGTCGCTGGTCGAGCGGTAATTCAACTTTGTGCAACCCGTCAGGACTGGCTACAGGGGTATACAGCAGCGGAGACGGCTGTTGACCTTGTTCCTAAACTAACGATGCGGCCGCTCGAGAATTCAGATAAGCAGTATATGCTTGGTCAAGTGGTTGGGCTTGCTTCTGAGGCCGCAGCAGTCGCATTGAATGCACACAGGGCCCCATCAGTTGCGTTAGGATTCCTTGAGCAGGGGCGTGCCCTACTTGCGGCATCTCTTGAAGAGATGAGGACTGATATCCTTGAACTGCAAGAGCGGTGCCCGCAACTGGCAAGGGAGTTTATTCATCTTCGAGACCAACTCGAGCCCCCGATGGACTTAGATGCCGCATCATTATTACTATCAGTTGAAAACGAGAAGAAGGGACAGTCATTCGAACAGGTCCAAGCAGACACGCGACATAAAGCAGCCAGCAATTTCGACAGGCTGGTCGCCGAAATCCGCCAACAACCAGGAATGAACGACTTCCTGCTTCCGCCCAGCACAGCAGACATGCAAACTGCCGCCAGAAAGGGGCCCATCGTGCTGATCAACGTCAGCGACTACCGCTGTGACGCGATTCTGATTGAGCAGCACCGAATCCGCTCCCTGCCTCTACCCGCCCTGCACAACGTGGACGTCAAGAAACGCGCCCAGTCCGGCGACCTGGCAAGTCTCGGTACCCTGGGATGGTTGTGGACCACTATTGCCCATCCCATCCTCCACGCTCTCGGGCTTTCCCAACCCCCGTCCGCCAACGACGACTGGCCGCACATATGGTGGATCCCTACAGGTTTCCTGACGAAGTTCGCCATCCATGCCGCCGGCCGATATAAACATGTCAGTGGTGGCGGTGGTACTGGTGGCGTAGTATCCTCCTGCGAGTCCGTCCTGGATAGGGCCATGTCATCCTACAGTTCATCCGTGAAAGCAATCATCCACGGCCGCAGGCGCGCAGCAGCGACTAGTCCTAGTACGACCTTGACACCCGGGGGAGCCACCACCCCCCTGCAGCAAGCGCTCCTCGTCGCCATAGAGCACACGCTTGGGGAATCGCCGCTCCCCTTCGCCGCGCAGGAAATCAGAACCCTACACCCGCTGTGCGCGTCCATGGGCCTCACACCCATCTCCTCCACCGGCGGGGGCAGAGGAGCCGTGCAGACCCATCTCCCGCGGTGCAAGATCTTTCATTTTGCAGGCCACGGGTACACAGATACCTCCGATCCATCGAAAAGCCATCTCCGTCTGCGGGACGCGCAGGTTCTCCGTGTTGCGGATCTCCTTGCGATGAATATCCGGGGATCTTCGCCGTTCCTGGCGTACTTGTCTGCGTGCGGGACGGGGCGGATCCGCGACGACAGGTTCGTGGATGAGAGTATTCATCTGATTAGCGGGTTTCAGCTTGCGGGGTTTCGGCATGTTATTGGGACGCTGTGGGACGTGAATGATGAGATTTGTGTGGATGTGGCGAGGATCACTTACGAGAAACTGAGGGATAGAGGGGGGTGTGGATGGGGGTTGGAGGCGGATGAGGCTGTTTGTCGCGGGCTACATGAGGCGACGAGGACGCTGAGAGAGCGGTGGTTGAGGAGGGTTGGGAGCGGCAGTAGACGGGGGAAGGGGAAGGCAGTTCGCGATGGGTCCTTAGAGGGGAGTCCAGGTGTGCTTGATGGTCAGCATGGTAGTAGATTGCAGAGGGATGTTGTTCTATGTGACGACGAGGACGAGGAGGAGGATGGCGAGGAGGGAGGTAATCGAGAGACGGCACCAGCACTTTGGGTTCCATATGTTCATTTTGGCGTGTAACTGTCATTCTTATTGCCTGTCTCGCCCTAGGCTAACTGTTATGTAATTGCTGCGACTGATGGGGAGTTTGGTTTTCGAGTACATCACGGAGACCAGGCGTGTTAAGGCCTACCATATGCACACCGTGGTTAAGCTACACCGCTTGGACTCGATTCTAAGAAATCCAAGCACTATAATCTGGTCTACAACCTCTGTTATTCTAGCTCTGAGCCTTGCATATCAGAGACGCCGAAATAAAAGGGTGCACCCTTATGCTATTGGTTGGTAACAAGCGAGAACACGTAAGGGAGTCAATCTTGGTGGGTCTGGGATGATCCGTATCTACAGCATATTTGGTCCCCCTGATATCGCGATGGGCTTGGACGTCTGGTAGCCTGGCCATCGTGTTGCGGTCCGGCTCGGCCAATGGCTCGAAATAAAAGTGACACTACTGTAGTCTGCGCGAGGCTGGCATTTAGGGGTTCAGCCTTTGGTGTCAGGACTCAAACACTGTTGACGGTGCCAAGTGTACTGGGTAGCTGTTTCCAAGTAAAGACAGGAAGAGAAATGCGTTTTGACGCTCTCCTGGTAAAAGTATGCGGCCTTTACCAATGTAGATTCTTAAAGATAATTAATTAACACTCTCAATGTTATGAACACTCCGAAGTAATAAGCAGGCAAGGCAGGATTCATAGATATGGCAGATTCCACGACGCAGGGAGCCACGAAAATTACGCGAAAGGCTATGGCTGGGACGAGGCAACCTGCGCGGAAGAACGGACAAGAGAAGGATTCTCGAAAGAATACTCATGAGAGAAAGCCTCCAACCCCGCGATCTTCAACCTTTCACGACACAGTCAGCCCCAAGCATCCTGGTCATCCGGTTTTCCTCTCAACACCTCACCTACCTATCTGATATCATGGCTAGATCCCCTTCCCTGCTCATATATGAGTCTGACCCCATTATGCAATAGCGCTGCGTGCGTAACCGCATTTGTGGTATGGATGCTCCACGGTAGGGCCCAAGATGCCGTGCGGGAGGGTTGTCGAGAGGACACGGAATACTTGAGATGAAAGGTCCTACCCCTCCGGGTTCACGCCCTTGATCTCGAACATCGACTCGTTATGTTGTAGTCTGGTCTCGGTGATAGTCGGCACACGGTCCTCAACGTAGCTTCGGATGGTGTCTCGGCATCCGACGCAGCAAACGTAATGGATTGTCATGTTGTGGTTTATTGCTGTTCAGGTGGGACTGGAAGGGAATCTCGATAGACAGATATAAAGGCAGTGGCCTTCTGATGAACTTATACCAAAGCGCCCCAGGGGTGAGAATGCGCCACCTGGCTGTCATCAGACTGTCAGACTGCCTCCTCGTATACCTGGTCGACAGCCTTGTGGTTCGAACACATACCATTGGCTGGCCATCATCACACGACAGGCTTTGGCACAGACAGCCTTGCATTAGCTATTACACGCTGGTTCTACCCTCATGTTACAGGCCTTAATTACCCTTCGCCGCCGTAACCGCTATCTAATCTACATAGTGACATCGAAAGCCTTGGCCCAACTATCAGGCGTCAAGAGCGGACACCAATCAAGCTCTCAGTCTTTGATAGCCAGCCCAAGCCAGCCTTGTCAGTCTTCTGTATCAAGGATTATTGTATGCAGCTAGAATAGTATTATACCAGATCTCAATTATCTATCCTGTAATGAACAGTCAATAAGACCTGTTCTAACAGAAACCAACTTGGTTCACATTACCCATTGTCCTTCTTCAGTCGCTGAATACTCCGGTTGACCCCGGTGGTTTTGTTAGTACGGTGGGACCTTGTCAGGAACAAATCAGTGATTCTGCCATATCTAGTAATTATCTAATATTTATATAACCACCGCCTGGCACATGGCCTGCGTAGATTCAATTAGACCCCTACGGAAACCCTCAGGGACTACATCCCAGGCAGGCCGAACCACCTTCAGAGATCATCAAAGAACTATAGTCCCAGGTGCTAAGTATCAACCATTCCAATTGCGCCGAGCTTGGCCCCACTACGACGCAAGGTCAGGACCAATAGTTAGTGCTCGTGAGCCAATCACAAAGGGGTGTAGATCTTCATGGGTATGCTATGATGAATCAGATTCTTTGATCGACCTAACTAACAAGTGACGATCCACGCCATGTCATCAAATAGAATGACCCTAAGTCCAGTAGCTCATTCATTCTCTATCCAAATTATTTCCATTTCACGCCTGTCATTCTAATAACAAGAACTTCTTCTCTGACGCTCTGATTCAATCTACGGAGGTCCTCCGGTGATACCTTACGGAGGACAGCCGCAGCCTTCACGTCGAGTCTAACTACTGTTTCCCTGTCTTCAATGACTGCAGTTGTGGAGGCTCTGCTGTTCGGCGTCGATGGGTATGAGGGTGTGCCTGAGCGGACTACATCTGCCCAGGACGCAATCTGGGGAGCTGCGTTTGGCACGATGGGGGGCGGGCGAAATGAGTGCGTTGTTGACTGCATCTTTGATGAGCGTGATGTCCTCTACAATCGGCTGCAGGCTGTTTAGTTTTCCCAGAATCTCCTGTGCCGACGGTGGTTTTCTTAGCCAAAATGATCACGCTATTCTGAGAGGCTTTCAGAGATTGGGCTGACAGTTTGGCGCGTTTGGTGTTGCCAAGCTCCAGCAGTGCTGTAGCATCGGCTATGATTTTAGTGGCATGCTCGAAGTGGTTCAGGAGCTGGATCCCCAACACTGGCCAAGTATCCCCACCAACCATGACTTCTGGGCATTGGGAGGTAGCCAAAAGCCTGGTTGATAGATTGAACTGGGATTGAGATCAATTGAGCTTCTAATTAATGAGAAATTTCAAGAATTTGCTCTGAGCTGGGGGTAGTTGTTTTTCTACTCTATTTCCTTGAGGCGGATAAATTTGGATTATCGTAGGGCCGTCTGCAGGCAGGCAGAACCTATTGGGAGAGTGGCGTTCCTTTGAGTGCAGGACAGGGTAGGATCTAGCACAGTTACGTTACTGGAAAAAGTACGTGAAGCGAGGAGGCTGACCGGAGAGTCGCTTTATTCATGTGGCTGTGACATCCAGAACTACCTATATGTCATGCCCAATGCTCCTCAGTCAAGAAGCCATACACTTTTGTACAAGTAGGTCAAGCAAGAACACATATTATATGTCCGGTGTCCGCATAGAACAGCAAGCAGTGGCGCAGACAAGCCAATGCATGAGTTGGCCGAATCAGCCGCCAAGAACAAACTCAGCCTTGCACAGCACACAGACTGGAACAACTGTATGAAGACGGGCCAGGATCTTTTGCAGATGGCATTGTATGCTCGACCCACTCACTGTCCCTGCAGCCTGACTCTTGCGGACACATCAAACACTTCCGACCTCCCTACGCTCTACACAAGCGATGAGTTTGGGTCCTCAAGTACTAATAGAAGCCCTGAGATTCTACCGATCGACCCGCAATTAATGCTGCCAAAGGCCGTCCAGTGACCACATGGTCAGCCTCTGGCTGTGCGCCATCATCCGATCAGCATCACAGAGAAGATTCTTCAGATTCTGAGGTAGACCCTATCTCAGCTGCTGGACGGAAGCGGCGGGGGTTTAGCCAGGTCGCATCGTCCCCTCCAACCCAACGTTCTGCACCTCGAACAGATCCCAAAGGGAACCAAAGCGGGCAATCTCGTCCATATATTGCCCAATTCTGCACACAACTGTGCCTTCTGGGACTACAGCAAGGCGGCGCGCTTGATCCGGATTGTCCAAATGTAGAGCTGCACCTGATTGGCAGATCTGATGGACGCCACCAGGTTAATGCGGACGACCTAGTGAAGAAGCTTAATGCGCAACTTGACCAAGACCAGGATCATAATTGCACTCCAATAGGTTTCTTGTGGATCTTACGGCGCGCCATTCAAGATCACTTGTGCCACATATGGATACACTGTTGTTGGAAAAGGGACCACTTCAACACTCTGGAAGGAGGTGTCCCGCGAAGCAGAAATTTACCGTGTCCTCCAGCGTGCCCAGGGATCGGCAGTTCCAGTGTTTCTCGGAGTTATTAATTTGGCCCAGATCTATTTCCTCCATGGCGCTGGAGAAATACGACATATGCTTCTTATGGGCTGGGGTGGCGAGAGCGTGGGCCATATAAACCCTGACAGGAATATCCAGCGTGCGATTCCTCGGTCCGTAAAGATACGTTCTTTGGGCATCCTCCACCAAGGTCTTTGACCAGAAAATATCTTGTGGAACACCGATCTCAAACGGGCCTTGATCATTGACTTCCATCGATGCACATTGGATAACTGACCAGTGCACAAACGGCTAGGTTCTCTTAAATGATTACAGAGTGGACCCAACAAACATGAATCCAAACGAGTGCGTATGATGTGAGTTAAGTCTACTGGCACTGGAGTTTCCGCGAGACCTCGGTGCTCACGTTCCCATCAAGTCAGTTGGACTAGCTGGCGAAAACGGGATGGCTTGGGTGTGAGGGCGACCCTACATTCAGCAGAGCTTCATAGAGGTTGGTGCGGGCATGGATGCGGTACCCTTCTATGAAGACCACAGGGATATTGGGCCCCATCCATACGATAGAGCATTGTATGACCAGAAGCAGTGGAACGTTTGGAACACAAGGCCATGCTTTGAGAAGAAGGCGCCAAAGCACGAGTCTGCACCAATGGCCGTTGTTCCAAAATCTACAACCAGGGCGGGGACTATATCATATGAAAGATGGACCGTCGCGAAGTTGTTGATCTGACTGGCCCGGAGCTCTCGGCTCCTGGCTGTCTTGTGGATAGTGAGTACTCTACCCGAAGTGCGGGATTAAATCCAAAACCCAGACACAGATCATCCTTTGTCCGAGGACACCCGAGTCCAGATGGCTGGCCATAGCCACTTGAAACCTTTCACTTATTTTCTAGTTCCCCAATATTTGGCTGAATAGGATTTTTGGACTTATTCCGAACTACCGCTGACTAGAGATCTCTTAAGAATATGATTGCCCTCGGGAAATTTTGGCCAGAAACACTAGGGACAGTACAGCTGTGCAGTATAGAACCAAAAATTACCTATTCAAGGTCACTGTGTTTATAGATGTCTGCGGGGTTGAAAACCCCCCAAAATGCCTAAAGGAGCGAGGCACATTGCCAACCTAATGCACTCTTTGATGCAGGCCCGATTCGACATCATGTTTGGCAGACTCTGACACCCTGGCGTGAGACTGCTCAACCAATGACTCGATGTAGAACTGACAGGAATGTCGGCTGCGCGAGGCTGAAATCAGGGTGCAGCCTTGGCGTCAGCCTGGGGGACTGAACCACCTGTGTCATTTAATGGCAAGTGGGTCATGCGCGCAAATCTCCAAGTAGAGAGATGTGCTGTCAAAAATGTGTGGACCTTTACTTGAAACTACAAATCTGATATTGATGTCAGATTATCTATTCATTCATTTTATTACTCTTATATAGGGCTCAGATCGACATAGCCCTAATTTTCTATTTAAGTTAGTAAATAAAATTGATTATCTAATCTCTACTGACCTAAGCCCTAGTTCTTCCTGATTAGGACTAGTGCTTCTGACAATATGAATTATACTTGTTTCAATTATGGCTATAGACAGTGTAATATAGTTAACTACAGGATACAAACTTCCCTGCGGCCAGATGAACCGCAGGGGATGTACAGCAGTTTGTAGGTTCAAAGGGAAAAAGTTATTATTATCCATATTATAGGAGACAGATAACCTGCTTATATGAATAGACAGATATATGGAATTATATTCCTAGCAGAATACCACAGCCACTGTGATATTCAATAACAGTCTTCTAGAAGTATGGCCGGCCACAGGGCCAAAGCTAACATATAGTTAGACAGGCCAGAGGGAGATCACAGTTTCTTATTGTGGGTCCAATTAGAGGCCAAGTTATGTAGTGGGGTTTACTTCCAAGATCGATACTCAGCGAGCTCTTTAATGATGCCCAGCAGCCTGGGTTTGTCTCCTGTGTGAATGGTTCGTTGAGCTGGGGATGGATTTTCTTGACAGTGAGGCCAATCATTGGTCAAGATCTGCTAGTGGTGGGTACATCGTCTCTCAACCCTCACTGGACCATTAGCTATCCAATGGAAAGTAGTTGCGGGCTTGCCAAAAGGGGGGGGAAAGAACCACAGTTTGTGGGACCCTCGCTGCGGAATCATAGGTGTTGTAATTCAAAGGAAAATTAATTTTCCCATTTTCTCATCATGAAATTGAGGGTTTATATACAACGTGAACATCAGATTGATTCCCAATTAATCTATTCCATACGGGATTTATTCCGTAGATGAAGCTCTATACTTTACTTGATCGCGCCTTGGTTCACGACACAAACCATTAATATTAGGAGAGGGGTTCTAATTTCAACCCAACGAGATGCTTCGACTTACTCATCTGAATAGTCTGACTCGACGTTGGACTGGCCCAGCTCATCTTTGTCCGCAATTATCCATTGCGGTGGCCTCGACCCTACCATCTCCTTCCATAGGTCATTCACATCCTCCTTCAGCATCCATTTGGCTTCAATATCTCTAACCAACTTCCACTTCCGTATGCACCGGCGCAGGCAACAACTACGTTCCCGATATTTTGTAACCGCCCTCGGGCTTCAGTGTCTGCTTTACGGATTCCCTCTATCTTAAAAACCCGAATGATCAGTTCATATATCACGATTTCCCGTCCGCGTCACTCACATAGCTAGCGTCTTCCATAGAACCCCGCAAAACGTGTCCAGGTTCTGAACAGCCTCTCTGGTCGTGACGAGAACCCACTTTTGTCCCAAGCAGGATGTTCTGCATGATACACTTCGACCGTTGTGAAACCATGCCTCCTCCAAAATCATATTCGTCTATCACGATAGCCTATTCATTTCAGCTTTTTGTTTCCTCAGTACAGTAGATTATGCGGATGAAAATGAGTAGAAACATGTGTCCGTGGGACAATACCATGTACTTCGTCCGCATGCAACATCAAGTCCGCCTTGCGCTCCAGGGTGGACCAAAGATACCACATTCTACACGCATATCTTATGGGAAATGTTTGATATGCTTGTTCATAACGTGGCGCGAGAGAGATCAGGGATACTATCACCCTTCAGCCGCTGGGTTACTGGAAGGTACTACCCAGGCAGATAGAGCATAGTGCCGGCCTCCGAAGATTTTATACTGAGGGTAAGGCTTGCTGGAAGGTAGTCGCAGATTAATCCGAAGAGGTCGGACTATACTATTTGCTACGCAGATATAACATGATGGCGTGTCAACGGTATCAAAAACTTAATGACTTTCAAACAAGTTTTATGTGTCTCTTTTTAACCCGCGAGTTTTCAAAGAGGGGCTCACCCATCAAGCCATGGAGATACAAATCTCCACGAAGCCTATATTCCCCAGAGGAATTGGATCCACACCCCCTTACCGCGAATGGATAAGGACATCCATCGAAGGCACAAATCCCGTCTCCTTCTTTGGCGAACAGAGATACCCATCCGACATGACCACTTTGTGTTATGCAAAAATTCCGGCCTGAGAGCCTGTTATGCGCCTCCGTAAAAACCTCGATATTGTTGTTTAGGAATTGCATACTATAACCAAATCGACGCAGCAGGCGTCTATGTATCAATCGGTTCCGTAGTCTCTTAAACAACGAGCAGGCGAACAAACTAGTGGCCACACATGCGAACAGTCTCTAAAGTTGGTAGACAGGCTTCGAAATAGAAGCGCTACGCCAGACAGAGTTGAAAAAACCCCAAGCCGCGATTCCACTAAGAGTAGGAACCAAGTTGAA